TGTTTCTTCATTTTTGCCAGTTTCTTTTCGCATTCATCCTTAATAATCTATTTAAGTTTGTTCCATAATTTTTTTTGGTTCTCTATCAGTGAGTTTCGGGACCCCAAAGAGGTTCCTGATGTTTTCTTTGAAAATGGTAGGTGTTTAACATTGTATCATGGAAACTGGCTTTCTTCTTCTTTAGCTTAACTTGGAACTTGTACATGAGCAGTTTATGATAGTTTCCACAATCACCATCTGATCGTGTTTTTGACTCCACAGTTTTTGGCCTGGAAGAAATTTTATTTATCAGTATACTGTAGCTTGCCTATTATTATAGCAAAATATGTTACAGTATAAATGACAAGTTTAGCTACTATGATTATTCTGTCAGAAGAAATGTTACTCATCCATGATAGAACCAAAGATGAGAAGATAATAGCAGAGAGTAAAGCATCAACTGCCACATGGAATTTGTAACTTGGATAATAGTCTGAAAAGGAAAAAGTGACAGAACTGATCTAAATATATTTTTACCTACGTGGATCTACTTGTACCACCTTTTAAATTAGTTTATGGAATAGGATCAGTCTAGACAGAGATTTTTAAGCCTAGCTAAATCCCCTCCCCTCTTGAAAAATCCATCAGTTCATACTTTCTTGTGAGTAGGAAAATGCCAGGGAATGGTTTTTCTTGTATTGCCGGTAGTTATGCTCTTTGGTTACATTGTTCAAATATGCCCTCAAGTGGTGAGAAATGGTATCTACCATATCTGAAGAAACAAATGCCTCATGATAAAGTTAAATTTGGAAATTATCTTTGCTACTTTATTTATTAAACATTTGCTGTGAGGTGACTGACTCTGAGTTTTTTTCAATGATAAAAGTAGTAAACCATACAAAAATATATATAGCTACCAAAGCAGTAGTAAAAATACAACATTTGATTATAAAATGGGAGGGGAGGAAGCAGGATGCCCGGGGGATGTGAGGTGGGATCTACTATTGGTCCATCAATCATCTCCAGTGTGATACATTCCCATTGGGGCCCTAGGCCAAGTGGCACAGTCAGGTCTACAAGTCCTTACAGAAAGTCAGGAGAGTGGGGGCAAGATGTGTAAAGGGCTGGAGCCACAGCAGAGGTCTGGATCCTGCCAGGCAGAATTCCTTGACCAATAAGATACCTCCTCTGTTGTCATGGGTGGGGCAGTCTTGTCCCATTGGGGGTGAGATGGTTCCTCAAGTCCTGGACCCATCCTATGCAAGGCTTTATAGGTAATAATCAACACCTTGAATTACACCTGAAAGCAAACCAGCAATCAGTGCAACTTGCAGAATAGTGGTGTGACATGGGCCGCTTTAGGGGCCCCAAAGATTGCCAGCACTGTCTATGGAAACATTCATGTAACTCTGGCTTTTAACTTACATTGAGTAGTGTTCTTTCTCTTATTAATAAAAGCCAGAAAAATAAGATTGCATAAATAAACGATTAAAGGTATTTTTTATGAACAGTTGTGTTTACACCCAAAATATAATGTGCAAATGAAGCCTATTTTTGATGGTTTGAATCAGCTTTTCCCATGTTTTCCATGTGCAAGCACCCTTGTGTTGTGTGTATGTTGTATAAGCAGATGCATAACATAAGCTGCTTTTAGAACATCATTCATTCAAAATATTTTATTGTACCCTTCAGCTGAGAAGGCTCACAAATAGATTTACATAAAAGCAAACTCAGTCAGCACATACAGTGAAAGCATCATTACCATTGGCATATAACTCTTTTTAGAAATCCCGTATAAAGCATATATTAGAATATCTTAACACATTAAAAAGAAATGTGTACTAAGAAATAAAATAATTCTGTGTGAAAAATGAAATGATATAATTTTAGACTTGTCCTTTCTTTCATAAATAAAACTTATAGTCTGCATTATGCATATGTAATTACAACATCAGTAAACTACTTCAGTTTACTCATTTGCTTTTAATTGTTCCCTTGGATTGTTTATCGTCTGGCTGATTGAGGCTTCTTCTGTAGTTAGCACTATGATCTCTTACAAGTTTTAAGTGTTTGACATCACAAACAAAATCATACCAGCTTTTAAAAACCAATGTGCACATAGTTAAACAATTTAACTCCTAGAAGCTTTAACTTCACAGAAGAAAGAATTTAATTAAATTTGTTAAAAGAGTGAGGACTATTCAATATATTGAATATATATTGTACTTTAAAACAGTCCTGGCATTGAAATAAAATGTGGGGTAATATCCTATTGGGCTCAAATAATTTCATTAATTTATCTTCCATTTCTAGATTCCCTATTTTCTTGTTTCCATTGCTCAGGGTGTACATATAACTGTTCAAATTGGTCATATATGTTAGGAGAGGTCCAACCATGGACCCCACCAGATTGCAGTGGTCTGAAGTACAGGAAGAACAAAGAGAAGGAGGAATGAGCTATAAGTTTCCTTTCAGGATGAGTTTAAGCGACTTGAAAATTGTGGTGGCAGCTCCATTGTCCCTGGGATTGAGAGAATATAAAGCTAAGTGACAGAGATGGACAATATTCATGTTTTTGTAATTATACAGCCCAGGAATATCCCATCTGCTATTTCACAAAATTGTTCTTATAGTATGTATGAATGGAGGGGGAGCCCTGGTCTTCCATCCAGAATATCAATGCCCTCCACCCAACCAGGGGTCTTGCCTACATCAAATGAACACAAAAAAATAATGATGGACAAGTGATACTAAAGTTTAAAGTATAGGTCTTTCAAAAGGCTATCATAGTAAGTAACACTGGAACTTTAAAGACAATGCTGATGTCTTTAATGGGGGAAATGTGACTGAAGGATGCAAAAGAAACCATATTAGGTTGCTGTCATTTCCGTATAAAATGAATTGTAGATTCTAATTATGATTTGAAGGTAATAGCTACATTTATAATTAACCCCCCCCCCCTTCTATACACTACAGCAGAAATGGGAACAATGGGCCTTTTACGACTTGTGGACTTCAACTTTCAGAATTCCTGAGTCAGCATGGCAGCTGGGAATTGAAGTCCATATGTCATAAAAGAGGCATCATTCTCCACCCCTGCACTACAGCAATAGGCAAGTTGCCATAGCTTGTTTTGACCCTGACAGTGGTGGGTTTAAAAAAAATTGCCTACCGGTTCGGCATTTACAACTCACCTTCTGCTGCAAGCCCTGTGTGTAAAACAGCTGATGTGCAGCAATTGGCTGTGCCACGTGAAGCAGCTGAAGTTGAAAAGGAGCCCAGCAGCTGATCGTTGGCGCAAACCAGTTTGCTCTCAGATGATCCTCAGAACTACTGGTTCAGTTGAACCAGGCCAAACCAGTAGTATACCACCACTGCCTGACATAAACAAGGAAGTAAAGGATCCTGTCACTAAATTTTTGAAGTCAGTTCCTTTAGGAAAAATTTTTAAAAGCAAAAGATTTTTTATTTTTTATTGGCAATTTGGGTTAGTTATGGGATTGTTTATTCAACTGGTTTTGCCATTTTGATGAAAAGCAGTCATTGGATTTTGATGAGGGTTTTTTTGAACATTTTGTACTTTTGTTATTTAAATATTTGTTTTTACTTTAAAATCCCATTTCTTTTATATTCTGAAAAGTTTTTATTTTATAGTATTTGTTGTTTGTTACTTATCTTGTTAAAAACTACACTATTTTTCACTGTTGTTATGATGAAAAAAGTATATAAACGTGATTGTACTGTATATAATTCTGAATATCTGTTTTGATATAAAGTCTCCTTGAATCTAGCTGGACTCCTGGTGACTACATGAATACTTCCATTATATTTTCATGGTAGCTGTATGGAAGATGCTTGCTACCACTTGGATTCTTTCTAGTCTACAGCGTAGAAAAGTTGTTTCTCTCTCCAAATTTGATTTGCTTCTAGGCCCTGACATAGTTGGCCAGGTTCAGCCACCTGTGAGAAGATTTGACATTTACTTACTAGTACTGACCATGTGATACCCAGATAAAGACATAAAGTGGGGACAAATTAATAAAGAGTTATTGGATTCAAGATGGGCAGCAAATACATTTCATAAATAAATAAATAAAATTTCTCATGTCAGGCTATTCCCAGTGAAACATATACATTAGGATGCTGGTTAGGGGAACTGCCTGGTAAATTGTGCATATTTAAAGCCTTGCATGTCTACAGTGCATACCCTTCTGGAGATTTTAATGAAAGGAATTGATTGATGGAGCACAGGTTGTATGTAAAATAATGAAATAGTTGAAGTTTGAATTTCATCATTTTTCTCAAGCAGGATAAGAGATTTTCTATGCTTATTAATGTGAATTTTCCACTTTAAATTGATTAGAAAGGTTGACATGTTTTCTTGTCTCCCTTTATATTTCTGAGTTTTTGAATTTGATCAGTGATAATATTCAGCCTAAACACAAAAACTGTGGAGCAATGTCTGTTTGAAGTCAGAGAATATTTCTTATAACGTTTGTAGTTGAAATCTTATGCACATCTAGGAATAACTCCTATTAATATCAAAAGATCTTCAGATTTGGGGTTTTTTAGTGGACTGATTTGTTATTCTAAGGAGATATTGTAATCTCTTTTACTTAGCAGTCATTGATGATTCAAGAAGTCATAAATCATTAGTTTATCTAAGTAAAATCCTAGTAGCCATTACTTTGCGAGGACACTCTGTAATACACATTAGTCTTTTTCCTGGGATGGTGGGTGTATTTCTGTTTGTTAAAGGAAGCTTATGAGGCTGATCTGGAGTCCAGAGACATTCTTACATTATTCTGAACATTAGTGCTCTGTAGTTTATTAGCTTCATATATTTTATACATGTATTTAATTAATGAATACATACATGTACACAGAATAGAAAGAGCTGGGGGACTGCAAGGTAGTTATTTCCATGTACACTGAAGACTTCAGATACAGAGGATTGTGATAAAAGTATCAGGATAATGCCTTGCTCAATGTTCTTTTCATAATTTCTTTCTTTCAATTAGAATGTTCCTCCGGATCTCTCCATCTGTACTTTTGTTCTGGAGCAGTCATTGTCAGTCAGAGCTCTCCAAGAAATGCTGGCTAACACAGAGGAGAAAGCAGAAGGGGTAAGTTGTGATATGTTACAAGTGGAATGACATTTGGAATTAAGGATAAATAATAGTTTTTTGTAACATTCAGATTTTGTCCAAGGAGATCTAAATCAATTCTATAGGGCAGCTTTTGCAATATTATATCTTTATTAATTGTTATTAATAATAACAATTGCCTATATACTGTACTTAGATGCTCTTAATAATTCTTAGGATCTTGGTTAAGACTTAAATTATTAAATTTCCACCAAAGCTGTATCGAAATAAAGAGATTGCAAAATTCCATTAAAGCTTTTGTGGTCAAATCAATTCAGAAAGGAAAGAAAAAAATAGGATTCTAGTGCTTGAAAAAAAAAGAGAACAAAAATTAATCCTTTTATAAGGTAATAAAATAATGGGATTTTGGATATGAACTTCTAACCTGGTTACTCCTTAGTTTTGCTTTTTGGTATTGTTTATTTAGATTGCAAGTTGTGGCCCACAGCTTTTTGAACTATTTGTAATTTTATCACCAAGAGTATGGACTTAGGACACGGTAATATTTTGGCCCAATTCTGTTTACAAAATTTGTATCTCCTTTCCTGTGTGCACAATTTTTACCAAAATTGTACCAAAAGTGGATTGCCCCAGCTGCTTGAAAAGCACATGGTGCTTAAAGCCTTATACTTTGCTGTTTCCTAGCATTTTGCATGAACAACTGTATGATGGCAACCAACAGTCTCTCACCTCTCTTTTTCTTCTTCTTTAAGCTAAATCATTTTTGTTTAAAGCATTTTGGTGAGACTATAATTGGAAACGATTGTGTAATAGGCTTGTGCAAACTCATCTGATATAATTATAGAAATACATTTTGGTATCCATAATTGCTTTGAAGTATTTGTTCCTCTGTGATTGGATCCAGAATCAGGCACATAACTCACATTTTATTCAAAAGGAATCACTTTTGAATTATCCCTTTTATAATACTGTTTCTAACTGTTGTGAAACCTAGTTGAAAGCTACATTAAGAAAGTTAAATAATTAAAGGGAGATCACATTAAATTAGCCTCTTGTGGGGAAAAGGACACTTCCCAACATTTATTGACTTGGATACAAATCTTGTATTCACAGGCACAGTGCTAGGAATTTTTTTTTTTTTAAACAGCAGGAATAATGACATCATCTGCATTGCCTTCAAGATCCCTCTGCATTTTGCTGCAATCTTTAGCTAGAGCAGAGCACATGGATTTTTCTAGCAGTATTTTTCTGGGAAGTATCTATTGTAATGCAAAACATTTTGAAGTGGTTTGGTTTTGAATGAGCCCAAGATGATTAAAAAACTGTTCTGGGTAAAAAGAATTGGTAGAACTGAATGCAGAGTTTTCCTTAATATTGGTGCATGTATAAATCCTTCTGCAAGCTAGTCTGCCTGCTTTTCTTGGCTGGCTGTATTGTCTTTTCTGCCTTATGTGACTATGAAGGAGTTTTTTATGGGTTTTTTGGCCACGTGTTGTCAGCTAATAGAGGGGAAGGGGTAAAAAGTGTTCAAAATTATTATGGGTAATTTCCGTTTTAGTTTGTATCCTAGTCAATCCCATTCCCCCTCCAGTGTTTGTTCTGTCTATCAGAATTAAATAGGGTAAAAGTAATGTAATTTAACTGCTCTAAAGAGTAGAAAAGCCTTTTCCTCATACATCTTATATTTCCTATTATTTTTGCATAATTATCTCATTTTCTTCAAGGTAAATTTTCTTCAAGGTAATCCTGTGAGGTTGACTACACTTAGATGTTTGTTTAGAAATCCTAGTGTATGTAGAGATGGACAAGGAATTCAGTCAATGATCATAACACATTCTACACTTGCCAGCACATTATTATATGACTGTAATCTTCCCTGTTAGTGTACTGGATAGTGTCTATAGTTTCTTCCCACTTTGTACTTGTTTTACTGGCATAGAAATTACATTTGAAAAAGGTCCAAATTAGCAAGCATATCACACTGTGCACTTCTGGTGGCCCTGACTGTTGCCCTATTTGCCTTGTTGACAAATATAATACCCGTATGTATTAATGTATGTTTTCCTCAAATAATTACAAACAAGTCTTATTGGTATTCCTGGTTACTATGATAACTTATAGAGAAAAAAAGAATTGTGAAAGGGAAGAGTTCAGTTCCATTAATGCTGTAGGAAATAATGCATAAGAATAGCCTTATATAGTTAGATTAATTGTGTAGCTATTTTAATGTTATCAATATCCTATTGGGTCCACTATTTGATGCCTACTTTTTTAATTGAAGTTGGTAGGTACCATCTCTGCTCAGTCACAGAGTCATGATTCCTTCCTGTTGTTCTAAAAACTACTTCAAATTATGATTCTGAACAAATGCAGCTTTTTTTTCTCCAGGCTATATATAAAATTTTTACAGCTAGGGAATTTGATTCAAGGATTTTATTGTCACATGGAAGCTCCAGATTTTCCATGCAATTAATGTAAGTTTGTGAAACTCACAATAACATCTAAATCATGCTGCGAAAGGAGATCTCAGTGTGGGATCTGAAGTGGTAACAGTGGGAAAGAACAGCAGCACCTTGAATGCTCTGTTTTAAGTATGTCTGTGTGCTTTCTAATGTAAAGTAGGTTGTATTACTATAGCTTCAAGAAATTTCATCTCTCATTTTCTTTGAATGCACATATTCTTAACTGTTTGAAAAAACAGCAAGGAGTGAGAATTGTTTAAAAACCATGGGATTTTTTATGACAGCCAGGAGAGTTTAACGTTTTACATAAAACATATAGCATTCAAAGTGCTCCTTTCTATTATGTTACAGCATCCATCTACAAGTGGTAAAATGTTAAGCTATGAAGTTATTGGACATTGCATGTACATATTGCATGAAATGTATTTTTTCCTGATGAATTAAATAATAAATACATCATAATATCCATTTCATTTTAAATATATTAAAACTTAAATTTATATTTGCTTCTCTTTCATTTTACTTTCCCCCTTCGTATTATGCCCATATGACTGAAATTGAAGGTAGGATCAGTTTTATCTTTCAGTATAATATTTGTTAAAGTTGTCTTTAGAATATATCTTTATCAGTACAATAGCCTGAAAATTTTAGATTTTTAAGAAAGTGTTAAAATAATTATGTTAACAAAGATTTTTATATCAAATTGTGGGAACTATATTACAAAATATAATTGTAGTAACAATATTCATTTTTTTCTTTCTACAGCTAGTTGATGTGGAAAAATGGGTATGTGTTTTTGATTCTCTTGATGCAATATAATAATCCTGGTTTATTAGAAAGTCAAATTTCCACATTATTCTGAATCCTCCATGTATCACAAGATTGCTTTGCTAAGCTCAAAACAGACTTATTTTTGGGAAAAGACTTTTAAAATGCTGGCTAGTACTGGTGCATCCATAAGTGTTTTCTATCCTATTAAATAATACAGAATATTATTCCTGCAATAAAATAAATTATACTTAGAATTTTGAGCTTTGTTAAGTACAGCCTTTAAATGTATAGTCTGTATAATATCTTATTAAATGTACATCATAATGAAATAATGCATGTGATGTCATAAACGTTCATATATGATATTAAAGATTTGCTTTATTCACCAAATTCAGAATACATGGAATTGTTCAATACAACGCTAATTTTCCAGTAACTGTACACAATATACATAGACAGTTCCAGATTTCTCTTAATTTTGAATCTAAATACATGCTTATTTTAAGACATTAAAAAACCTTAAGAGTTCAGTATGTGAATTCATTTAAAATATAAAAAAATCTGTAAGTTTTGCTTTGGAAATCTTTGAAAATATACTATTTATATGTTTTATGCACATACAATACCAATGTAAAATAACATATATAGAATTATAGATATATAAGAAAAAAGAAAATGTATAATTCTTATTATGTACATTCAAGTGTTGGCAGTTTTTAAAAACTACCAGGTAAATCTGATTGAAATCTCCAAGTCTGCATGTCTGCATAGTTTTAATTTTTATTACTAATTGTGTGGATTAAATATCTTGCCTGGGATGTCTATATTACAATAAATTACAATTGTTTTGTGTATTTATGATTGCATCCTTGCAATTACCTTTTTATTTGAATTTATGAAAGAGCTATATTCTAATCTTTATTAGAAATGTCACCAAAATTATTGACTAAAATATTATTCATATACTTAAAGTGAGTCTGCTTACTTAACATTTTGTTTTGAAGTAAGAATTCTAGTAGTGCAATAGAATTAAAGTGTTGGAAAGGCCAACTCTTTGCTCAGTGTAGGAGTCAAAATTAAAACACCCAGACAAATAACTATCCAGCTTTTGCTTTAGGATTCTGAAACTATTTTGATCTAAAGACAGATGGTGTTTCAGACGAAATATGAGGATTTGCTATATGTGACAGCAACTTTTTAAAAAGCTGTGTTTTCACCTGAGCTCATATGGTAGTTGCACATGGAGGTGTAGGCCTCCTTAACTGAAATATATTTTCCTTGAGTCACAAAAAGTTTACAACCCTGAATTTAAAGCACTTTTTCTGCTTTGGATCACAACAGTTGTATCATCCCCATGCTACCTGAAAACACATCCAAGCACATCACCTCTGGCTAACTGACTCCATTGTTGAATTGTTCTGATAGTTAGAAGAACATGAGGTTTTTGATTGGAATCTGTCTTCCTGTAACTTATATCGATCATTATTTAGCCTGTACTTTGGAATAAGGGAGACTGACTCAATTTTTATGAGAATTTCTTTCAGTTCCCTCTCACAAATCTTTCTTAAGCTTAAACATGCTAAATGAAGGTTGCCAGATGTCCAGCAAAAGGAGAACATGTCTACCCTTTTGTCCTTATTTCGTTTGTCTAACAGGCTTAGTCTTAAAACCAAATGTTATCTGCCTTTTTGTGTATGTAACTGTAGCTCAGTGGCCCAGCCCTTCCTTAATAAGCTTAGTTAAAGGCAATGGCAAACCACTTCTAAAAAACTTTGCCAAGAAAGCTGCAGGGAGTTGTCCAGGCTGTTGTCAGGAATCAACACTGACATGAAGGCATTTCTTTTTTATAAAAAGAAAAATCCAGAACATCACATAGTTCTTTCTGAACTCTAAGATGCAGTTCATCTGGTCCTGAAATCTTAAATCCTTTCCAAGTATTTTTATATCATGTTTTTATTGATTCAGTCCTGTCATTCACAATTCTGGCAGAACATGTAGTCTTTTGTTTCAGGAGACTGAATAAAATATGCACTTGATATGCCTACGTTTTCTTTAATTTTCTTGAACCAGTCAATCAATAAATATAATATAGATAGTCCTCGACTTACAATTGTTCATTCGAAGTTACAACGGCACTGAGAAAAGTGACATGACTTTTTTTTACACTTATGATTGTTACAGCATCTCCATGGTCAAAATTCAGATGCTTGGCAACTGGTTCATATTTATGATGGCTGCAGTGTCCCAGGGTCATGTGACCAGCTTTTGTGACCTTCTGACAGGCAAGATCAAGGGAAATCCAGATTCACTTAACAACCACATTACTAACTTAACAAATGCACTTAACAACTGTGGCAAGAAAAGTTGTAAAATGGGGCAAACTCACTTAAATGTTTTACCAATATAAATTTTGTGCGGTCGTAACTCGAGGACTATCTGTACCATATCCAGTAGGTGCTTGAGATAGAAAGATAAATAGATAGATAGATAGATAGATAGATAGATAACAAATTTTGGTCAGGATATGAGTCAGAGTGATTAGTTGTATTTATTGACATTGACTCTAAAAAGTCTCATGGAGTAAATTCAAGTTATACTTTTCATAATATACAAAACAAATGGAATTGTTGATTATATAATGGTAATGATACTAAATACATTAAGGAAATACTTTACCACAAATTTAAAGGGGATTTGAAATGTATTTATTTCTAAGATAGTTCCACTAATTGCAGGAAATGAGACTGCAGTAATCCTATGTGTGCTGTAATAAGTGCTGTTGGATTAAATAGAATTTAACTCCCATTAGGTTTCTCTCTTTCTTGTCTGAGAAAGTCTCACTTATACTTAAGCAGAGATATATATTATTATTCTACTTTTGTGCTGAATCTATATTTGCCAGCTTTTGTGCAAATTTTTCTTCATTTTTAACACCAATTTGATCTATTGGAAATTTTTAATTTTTGATTTGGAAAAATTGCAGATCAAGCTGTCTTGAACTCCATCTTTCTATTGGGTTTTTTTTTTCTTTTTCTGATTGGTTAATAATCTTAATATGATTAAGAAAGATGTATTAAAGAAACCCTCAGACATAGCTCAGCTATTATATCTCCCTGCACACAAAGCTCCAAGGAATCCCTGTGGCTAGTAAACAGACAGTCTGTTGGTTCTGCATTAGGTTAGATTGATTTCTCCGTCTCCAAACCCACCTCTTTCCCCCCCACTGTATCGCAGGGCATTAGAGCAGTGTTAGATTGATTGCGTCATATAATCCATCCCCTTTGGCCACCACTCAATTTTTCTTGATAAAATACAAGTCTGTTGCCTCTCCATGAGCAACAGCAGCACATCCATCACAGAGAGAAGGTGAATAACATCATTTCCATCAATACCTGTAGTTCTACAGAAGCAGCAGCTGAAATGGAAAGATGGGGGGGGGGGGGGGAATCCCAGATATGGTTCTGTTGTAAAAGAACTTTGGAAAGTACAGCAGAACCGTGGCAATTACCAGAATTAACTGTGTTAATGCAATTGGGTGATTGCCTGTGCTAAATGGGAAACACAGTGGAACTGTGTCAGACTTGTTGGGAGTTATCTATGAACTGTTTGGGGCCTGATGGGCTATAATTGCAGATAAATGCCACTTACCTCTGAGTGAAGCATGTCCATCATTAATTATTGGAGCTGCGCAATACCCCTCCCTCCACCCTTCCCTCCCTCCCCCTCCTTAAAGCAGCTTCATCTTTTCCTGGGCAACTTGTTACAACAATCCCATTTTAAAATATGAATGTTATGGCAAATTTAATTGTTCATGTTTTCTAGCACACTCAAATAGATCTGTGTCATAAGATATATTAGATAATCAAAATACTACAGTAGTACTACCAATAATTAGGATACAATATCCTACTTTTCTGCCAGTAGAATCTATGACCAGCATCACATATCAATTTATCACTTCGATTAACAGGGTATTGAATGCCAGACTTATAATGGTGATAGGGTAGCATTTTAGTGGATCACAGATTGTTACAGGCACTTACAGGGCATGCTTCCTAGTGTGGCAACTATAAACATTGTCGTATAATAATGTATTTTGTTGAAGTAAGCTAATTTATAAGATTGGTATCCTGTTTTGTTATGACATTTTTACTTCGTTGTTATTTAGAACCTCCGTAACATTGAAATCAATACTACACAGTAGAGAATTAAAAATATTTTATTTTTATGAACTGTTTAGAAAAGATTAATGCAGTTTCACTGGAAAGCTGCATAAATAAATGCATACATTATTTCAGAATTGTTTTCTCATAAAAATATTTTTTCAGTATCACACCTATTAATTTTTTACATATGCATATAATTTATTTTTTTTATTTTCTACATAATGATATTAATGTAAATGTAATAAATAATTTTCTCAAACTTTTGGTATAGGGAAAACAACAAATATTATATAAAAATGCAGACTGACTACAATGTATAATTATTTTTTTCTTTCCCTTTTTAATGGTGCTTCAGAAATTTATGATGAAGGTAAGCTTGAAAAGAATTATTTCAGTTCATTCCAACAAGCTTCTGTATACATACTATATTATAACAACGTTACATGCACATTCCTAAAAGATAAAGAGTGGTATCTTAATCTATGATGTAGAAACACTTAACAAGATTTACAAGATCATTTACACTTAAGATTTACAAGATCATTTGTGCTTAAGAGAAGTCTCTGGACAATATGTTTATATAGCAAAAAAAGAAAAAAGAAAGATTATGTTTAACAACAGTGTAGCAATTTATTCTAGACTAACTATGCCTTAAAGATATGCATTTTAAACTCATCAAAGTCAAGAAGACATATATTTAACTCAGATATGATGTCAGCCCTATAAGTTAGACCACATTAAGAAACAGACACCATGGAGATCTAAAGCTAATCTTATTGGAACAGCTATAATAACAGAATCCTGCATATCTTAATGTACTTCCCTTCTTCTTTCTTTTAACTTCTTGTGAATTAGCTGTCTGAGGCATTTTTGTAAACTACGTTCTTGGACTGGGCTTAGGTCTCATTTAGCTGCTTATTACCTTGGAAACAGTTTTTCCCTCTGACCTTCAAGGCTACATTCTCTACATTCACTACCTGTGATTATAACCGATTTAAGTGTTTATATTAACAGTGAAGACATGAAATTGTGAACATGATTTTCGATTTCACAAATGGGCATCATGTACTACAATTTTGGGGAATATGACAAACTACATGAATACACATTTCTAGAACAAGAAATCTTATATCAGTTATGAGTTAGATCATATGTTGAGGTAATTCCCCGTTAGGAGAATGAGCGCATACAGGGAGACGTATTGAGAGTGGTGAAGAATAACACACAAACAGCACACAGATACACTGTACAGTAAATGTAGGTTTTTACTTCCAATAAACATTTAAGCACAGTCCAAGATAAGCAGTCCAAGTCATTCATAGGTAAGGCAGTCAGTGTTCAGTTCAGGGATAATCCAAATATCAAAGTCCGGTATCAAAAAACAGTTCAGTAACAGACTTACATCAACGATCAGTAACAGTCATTAGGCGCAACGGCAACACTCTCCAGAAAACACCAGAACAGAGACTCACTGAGACTAAACAACCCAGGTTTCTGGCTCCATCTTATGGCCGTTTGAGAAACCACACCCAATTACAGTTTTAGCATTTTCTTAAAGACATAGTATTAAAATGTCTATCCTAGTTTATATATTTCCAACCCAAATAACTGTTAGGTGACTTACGTTCCTAACAGTATATTCTCACCTAAGGAAAATTAATCTAGATATGAGTTGTTTTGTCCCATATTATTCTGATTCTGGATGAACATTGGTTGAAGCATGTTTCCCTTACCAGTGTTATCACTTCACTTAAACCTAGTGTTTCTTGCCAAGATCTTTAAAAAAAGACTTTAAAACTGAGTCTTTCCAAAGAGCATTTAGATAAGATATGCCATTGACATGCCTATTAGTATTGATTTTGATCATACGGTTTGAGATTTTAAGATAGTGTTATAATTATTCTGTTTCTATATTGCACATTGCCAAGAGACCATGTTTATAAAGACAGGAAATAAATACATAGTGGGTAGCATTTAATTTCTTGCTTTTCTATTTGATCAGGCATCCTATGTAACTACCATAATAATAGTTGAAATACAGACTATGAAATAGAAGTTAAAAAACAAATTATTCAGGAAATAGTTATAAATATGATAAAAGTCAAGAAGAGTGTGTTCTAGATGTAATTCTGAGGAAACATTCTGACCACTTAATGGACACTACAAAAAAGTTCTTTCATTTTCATTGGATTGTAAACTAATACTAAAAGATTTCACATATATTTTGAAGTTGTTCAAATAGTCATTCTAATTTGTTGAAGACTTTAAGATGAATAGCTAACATTTTCAATTGTGCTCACTAAGCAACTAGTAATCAGCACAGATATAAAAATATAATAATCTTATGATTCTTGGAGTGAGAATTACTTGTACTCTGTGTTTAAAACATGTTAAGGCTGCAGCTATAAATGGTATAACTGCATGCGGTTTGTTTTTCCTTTATGTGTTTATGAAAACTGTGTCTGGGTATGAAGATTAGAAGAATTCTGTTATAATTCCCCCCAAAAAAGGGAATGAAAAAACTATAGGAAGATTCCTCTACTCCAGCGGTCGCCTATGGTGGGCTACGGCCCACTGGTGGGTTGTGAGAAAATTTTGGTGGGCTGCAGAGAAATTTCACCCCTAGAGCACCCCCCCAAAGCAATTAATCCAGGCTGTGCAGAAACACAAGGCTGTGCCACCCACATGGCTTCCGGGAACCCTCCCTGCCCACTCACTCCTTACTTGATAAACTTGCCTGCTAAATTGCTATTTTTCCTTTTTCCGACCATCATCTGTTCTGCTGTGCCAGGCGATTTAGATTAGCTAGGAAGCAAGAAATGGTTGAATTTCTTGCTTTCTAGCTAGTCTTTAGATCTTCGGCTCAGCACAGCCGAACCTCCCTTAGGACTGAAGGTTTGCTTGCAAGCAAATTCAGTGCAGACTCACGGCAAGCAAATTTGAGAGACTGAGCTAGCCGATGGCAGATAGATAGATCACTGAATGATTCTGTGAGCAACTCAATCTGCCTGCTTTGCCTGATTTTGGGTAAAAGTTGCTCTTTTTTATAAAAAATTAAATATTTACATGCATGGTGTGTTGTGAATTAATTTTGTGAGTTTACTTGCTAGCAAATTTTATGAGTTTGCTTGCAAGCAAATTTTATGTGACAGACTGAGCTAGCCAATGGCAGATAGATAGATCTCTGAATGAATCTGTGATTCTGTGAGCAATTCAATCTGCCTGCCTGCTTTGCCTGATTTTGGGTAAAAGTTGCTCTTTTTTATAAAACATTCAATATTTATATAAATATTTATAATATTTACATACAAGCCATGCCCAGCCAGTCACATGACCACCAAGCCACACCCACAAATTAGGCCATGTCCACAGAACCGGTTAGTGGTCCCTGGAATCTAAAATTATGAGTTTGGTGGTCCCTGAGGTCCAAAAGGTTGGCGACCCCTGCTTTATTCTATGTGGGGAATTTGGTAGAATTCTGATTGAAAGAAAATGAGGAGCACCAGTGAGCTAAATTGGGGCAGAGTAGAGCAAATTTTTGCTAATTAGTACATCTGAGAAATGTATCAACCATGAGAAGGGAAATTTATTGTACATTTATTAAGAAAAAGTGTCTGATGCAAGTACTGAAGATTGATTGCTGAATGCAGTAGGAGTGGTATATCATGGGAAAAAAATCAGGAGTGAGAATAAATTAAACAGGTTTATTTTTGGCTCAGCAGAGAACCTCTTTAGATATTCTGCAACAGATTATTCGGTTTTTAGAGAACATTGCTTTTATTGGTTATTGTTTTGTCCTAGGCTTCCTCAAAAAGCACTAAGCAGACTCTTTATCCTGACCAAACTCCTTTTATTAAAGGAATGTGAATTTCTTGCATTCACATTCAGCCAACGGCCCGGCAAACAGTCTTTCAAGGGTATAATTAGGAGCTCAAACCTTATCTCTCTTGGAAAGCTGCCCAATAAATATTTCCAAACACAGTGCTGACAAGGAAGGGCTTAGCACAGTGTCTCTAGAATGCACAGACAGGTCTTCACAATGATGGAACGAACGAATGAATTGTTTCCTGCAAAAGCCCCCTCCTTTTTTGCTCCTCTTTTAATCCTTATGGGAGGGTCCATTCATCATCCACCTGTGGCCTTACTCCCATGTCGACCCTGAGTTTGTAATTCTTTCCTTTTGGCAACTCTGCGTATGCGCAGGCTGGGAACCAGTTCCAGCTGCTCCCCCACCTCATTGCTGTCCGATCCAGAAGGCAGCTGATGACTGTCAGCCTGCCCTGGCCCCATCTCTGCCTCTGATGCAGATCAGTCCAAATCTTTCTCAGCCTTCAAGACTGGCCCAAGTTCCTCTGCAACCTCCTCGCTGTCCGATTCTGTTGCCAATTCTGCCAGCTGCTAGCAGACCACCACAGTTATTAAGCAATGTAAGTCAGGATTAAAATACTCATTTGCTGAAATATTTCAAAAAAAAGGCTGGATTTTTGCCTCTACCTACTCTAGACTACTCTGGGGACTGATGGTCATATTTGGAGCTCTGGTTGTCATTCCAATCTATAATTTAGGGGGATCATTGTTTGCAGAGTCAGCTCTATGGTTTGGCCACTGATATTGTCAGTGAGAATGTAAAAATTGGACAAATCATTTTTTTCTCTAAACTGAAAGAAACAGCTTTATGCCAACATGTTACTAATTGTTCTTTTAATTCATATAGACTGCTCAAGGTGGTGGTCATAGAACTCTCCTCTATGGACATGCAATATTACTGCGCCATTCTTACAGTGGCATGGTATGTATAACCTTATGCACAGTATTTATATGGTAGTGTTGGTATGTTTCTTTTTTATGTATCAGGATCAATATAATTCAACACTAGGCTTAGATTATGGCTGCATTTCAACGTTATACACTTTTTGGACACTTTGTTTAATATTTATTCAATATGATATTGAATAGATTACCTCCAAAATGCATGTTTGTCCTGCTTGATACTGTATTTTCGCTATCTGTGTACTCCATCTAAAATGTAGAGTTTTGGTAGCTAATTTGGTAAATTTGTTTTTTGTCCTTATTCCATATTTTCCAAGATCCAAATATCTTATTTCTGTATAATATTTCATTTTTGGAATGTTGAAGTGTGATGATAAGAAATATAGACATTTTATGTAAAAGTAACTTGCCTTACAGCTATTTGTGTCTAATTTTAGTTAATGCTTATGCAGTAGAAATGTATACACAGAGTATGTGTGTGTGTGCGTGTCTATATGTTTTCTGTGTATTTGTGTGTGTGTGTGTATGTATTTAAATTTTTGCAGCTGATTATATGTGATTGTATGTGAGCTCCCTGCATAGAATGGAATATAATAGAAATTATATTATTTAAAACACTAAGACGCTTGTTTCTTTCTTTTTTCTTAGTATCTGTGTTGTCTCTCCACATCACGAACATCAATGGATAAATTGGCTTTTGATGTAGGTTTGCAAGATGATACCACAGGTGACTACTTTGTGGAGAAAAAAGCCTGCATTTTGATTTTTATGGCCCTTTTGAGATTTACTAGCTTGTATTTCTGAGAGAAGTCCAGGTTCTTTCTATTTTACTGTTGGTAGGGTTGGCATTCTAATGGGTTGCTTGATTGTATGCATCCTGGGGCAGTGCTGGTTGACTCTCAAAGAAAGAGGTAGGTCACAGAATGGCCACTTTCTATTCCACTCTTGAAGAGAGCTCCAGATTAGATTCATCCATGGTAGTGATATCATTGGATAGTACTGTGTAGACTTTGAAAAGGGAAGTGAGCTGATTTCCGTGCATATTTACTTGTGGGTGCTAATAGCACATACACACACTCCTACACACACACTCACACTCATATTTCTAATTCATCCAATATTTTCCAGTGTATCATACTGTCTTTATTTTATCTGCCCAGTCTGCTGGCAGTGTAAAGCCGGATGACAAAGATGTGATTTTCTATAAAGTCAAAATTAGGATTATAGATATTTTCAAGATTATATCTTGAAACCTTATGTGTTAGGATGAGAAAAACTGAATGTCCATCACAGTTACATTTTAATGGTAACATTTTAAAACATATATTTATTACTGGCACAGTGTCATTGTGGTGTAGTGGTTAAGATGTTGAACTAGGAGTAGAGAGATGGAGTTTCTAATTGTTCCTTAGATAACTAAATCCATCTGGGTAATCTTGGGCTAGTCACTCCCTCTTAGCTGAAAGCAATGTTAAGCTCTCTGACAAGCCAACTGGTAAACAAAACTCTTTGTCCATTCATACACTGATAGTTTCACTGTAAGAACTAGATTAGCCCACTGCAAAAACAAGCAGACCATGCAACTCTCTGGGACAAATGCAAAAACAACAGCATTTATCAATGTCAGTTGCAGGGTTATTTTTTTTTGCTTTTTTTTCCAGAAACAGTCTTGTAGGCTGATATCACACATATATCTCTTTGTAACTGATGTAGACCATTATCAACTGTAGAATATTGGGTTCAACAGTTGAAGTATATGAATAGACCTGGCCTGATATTTATGTCATTCTGTTTTGAAATTTTTTAAAGAATTTTGGCCAAAAGCAGAAAATACAGTGGAATCTTAACAGATGAAATTTACCTAAAGGGAGTTCTAATAATAATTCTGGATCTGTACAGAATTAATCCCAAATCTAACTCATGAAGTTGGTTGATTTGGGAACTCTGTGGTTCTGCATAGTTTTATTTAAAACTATAATATATTTCCTTCTCTTATTAATATGTTGCTGTAACGTGGAACTATGGTTACAGCTACTGGGAATGTTGCTAGTGTACTATCTTTTCAGCATCATTGTGTGCAAGAGGCTTTAAAAAGAAGGAAATATAACTTTAAAGCCAGAAATATTCCCCTCATAATAGCCACATGGTTTTGCATAATACCAAATATATGCAGATACTGAAAACAGGGATGCTGCTGCAATTTATTTTAGAATGATAGAATAACATTCTCTTATTGGTTAGCCAGTGTGAAAACTAACTGGTAGTGATATTCGTAGCATATTAAGAAAAATAAAGATAATAGTGAGTTATTAGAGAGTGGAAATGACCCATTTAGAACCTTATGTGGAAGCATCTTAAGACAAAGCAATGGTGTTTTATCCTGGACTGCTAATAGTTCATTGTTGTAGATTGTTATTATTATTAAGCCAATGGTTATATTCACAATTCTAGATGCAAAATAAAACAGTATGTTTCCATGTAGGGGAAGCCTGCTGGTGGACTATACATCCTGCTTCCAAACAACGTTCAGAAGGAGAAAAAGTGCGTGTTGGGGATGATCTCATCCTTGTCAGTGTCTCTTCAGAAAGATACTTGGTGAGCAATGAAGAGAGTATACTAATATATTATTTAATAAAAGTTTAAAAAGTAGAAAAGTGAGTATGAAAAACAGAGGTGGTATTCAGCCAGTTCTGACAGGTTCTGGAGAACTGGTAGTGGAAATTTTGAGTAGTTCGGAGAACCAGCAAATATCACCTCTGACTGGCCCTGCCCCCATCTATTCTCTGCCTCCCGAGTCCCAGCTGATCGGCTGGGTCTTCATTTGTTGCCCTGCACAGGAGAACGGAGCTGGAAATCAGGTTAGTGAGGTGGGGAGGGAATGGGGATTTTACAGTATCCTTCCCCTGCCATTACTACCAAGTCACACTCCCCAAGCCATGCCACCCCCAAGCCACACCACGCCCACCAAGCCACGCCCACAGAACTGGTAGTAAAAAAAATTGAATACCACCACTGATGAAAAAATAGATAATATAGAAACATTATGTTTCAGTCATACCCTTATCCAATCCATGCTGGTACTGAAATCCTCATGTATAAGGCAGCTTTTTCAAAAAAGTTCAATTTTAAAATAAGTTTAAAGTACAAAAAAGATAGATGTAAGAAATTAAAATGAATATTTATTAATGTGTAATTTTAAATACATATTTATATTTACCTCATTATATTTTTCTTGTTCAAAAGATTATAAAAAGGCTGTCCTGATATAACAATGGTAGTTGGAACCAGAGTTTCTGTTGTTAAGCAATGCAGTTGCAAAGTATGATGTCACGTGACCACATTGTTTAGCAATGACAGTCCTTTCACTCCTCATTGCCACTATGTGAGACTATCAGATATACTTGGGAGCTCCTAGTGTACTTACGGTATTTTGAGAAAGAATGTGTTTTAAATAGAATTTGAGAGATATTAAAGTTCTTCCAGGCCAGATGGTGCGATGTCTTTTTTGTTCCTGTAAGTCATCACAGGAACAAGGTGAAATCAAGACTATCTGATAGACTTCTTCTGTGAGAGAAGATATTTATATCATTTCTTTTCAAAATGGAATAAATGCTTAGGCAATAAAAATAGTATTATTAAAAATAGCTTTAGAAGTATGAACATTTTTGTAAATGGTTTTCTTGTTAATAGCAAATATAAATGAAAGTATAAAAATAAATGAGTCAGTTCTGTTTCCACTCTTGAAAAGGTTCGTCCTGTATCCATTTGTTTATATTTATTATGATTCAGATAACAAATATTTCTTTGGGTATAGGGTGCCTGGGAAGGTGCTACAGGTAGTCTTCAAGTCATGATGGTAGTTGCACCTGGAATTACTGCTGCCAAGCAATGTGTTTGTTAGGCAAAACTTCATGAAACTTCATCACTTACAGGCAGCAATTCCTGCAATCCCTATTAACCAAATCCCACCATTGTTTGACAAGGACCCATCCAGATCCAAACCATTCCTAGCTTGGTCTCTCAGTCCCAAGGCATGGTAAGGCAAGGAACCGCCTTCTTTTGAACTACACCCCACTTCTCTCCCCCCTTCCCCCATCGTTGCTCTTTTGTCTGCCCTACCCAATGGCATTTGTCAGCAGCAATGGTTCTGCTGATGGCATTGGGGCTGAAGTAAAGGCCTGGAGCCTTTGACAGTCTCAGCCATCTGCCGCCACCCCTGTCCTTCAACTTCAAGCCCAGTGCTACCATCATCAAGGAGTGTCACTTCAAGCCCCATGCCATGGAAGCTACCCCAGCACAAAACCCCATTTCCCAAGCTCTGCATTCCGTGCTGGGCTGCCAAGTACCCAAATTTTAATCACATAACTCTAGCGGTGCTTCAATGGTCATAACTTTGGGAACCAGCTGTAAGTACCATTCATTAAATACTACCCATATTTTAATTTTGAATGATCATTGAAGGGATGATTGTAACTCAAGGAGCACCTATATTTATTCAACCAGTGATTCTCTAGAGGACACATACTTGATTTTGTTTTGAGTTTTTGAACTATTGACTGTGATTCTCTACAGGTTCATTTCTGTGAGTTGGAGTTGGGGCTACAATCTTATAGTGATTCCATTCTTAAGGCAATAGCATTGTATGTTATTGCCCCCATGAGGATAAAATGCCACAAGGTACTGATTGGTCTTCATTGCTTGTGATGGAATGCAGTAAGGAGATGGATTCCCAGGAAGAAGAGGGTGCATTCCAGAAGAGTAAATGCAAATCAATCTAGATATTACCTTTGAGAGAAATGGTGAAGACAGCCCCTCCCTTATAGGTTACAAGAATATATTGTAAATGCAGAGATTAATAATGGAAGACTTTTGTCTATAAGTGTGAGAAAAATAAAGAACTCAGCTTGGCAGAATGATCACATGTCATTCTTGGTTTGGGGCCTGATACGCTATGTAAAACGGATGGGGTCAATCATCAGGAATTTGGGAGAATGGTGTCATCAACTTGCTGATAATGTTCAGCTGTATTTCTCTGGATTGGACCCTGGATGTAATGTGGGATTGGGTAAATGTCAATAAATTGAAATTAAAGGCTAAAAAGACAAAGCATTCTGGGCCTAGGAATTTGAGATTTGCTTATTCTTTATGTGCTTTCTCCAAAAAATGAATTATGAACTTTGCATGTTTTTAATTCATCATTTAATCAGAAGTTCAAATAACCTTAATGTCTAGAAGCACTATTAACAACTTTTATTAGTTTGTAAGTTGTATCTTTTCTTGGATAAGGCTAGCCTGGCAATTGTAATCTATCCATTCGTAATATCACATCTGGAGATTATAATTTGGAATTAGCTGGAAATAGTAACTGATTCAGAATATGTTAGCCAGAATGAAGGAATGGTTAAGTATTTATTACATCAGTGATAAAGCAACTGGTGCTATAAAATCAGGTTCAGGATATTACTTTTTGCTTACAAATCCTTGAATAGCTGGATCTTGGATACCTGGCAACTTCTCCAGTTTAGACATAGACAAGAGGGGAACAATTCGCTTGCCGAATCAGTTAGAGAATTCAGAATGGCCTTCTAGTGATATGAGGGAATTCAGCAATATGATTTGGGCTGTTTGGGGGACATGGCCCCATCCATTTAATTGTGGAACTGGGAATGCTTTGGTTCTACATGCTTTCAGCTCCCACCTATTTTTGTTGCTCTATTGAAAATTAGCTATTATACAATCTTTTACTAAAAATTATGACTGGAACGATTGAATTGCATGCAGTTGATGGGGTCATAGATTGGCCATCTCTGACCTCAGTCATCATTAAGACCACAGGAACCTCTGTGAATTTTCCATAAACTGCAGTCATGGGCGGCTTAGAATAATAAAAAGGAAGAAAATGAAAGGAAAATAAACAGAAGTAAAATAACAGAACCCATAAAATAATAATAAGTAATATGAGTATACATCATTTTGATAACCATACATCAACATATTTTTTCTCTGATTATGATACAAAAAAGTAGTAATATTTTTTTTTCATTTAGAGGTACTCTAGCTAGAAAAAAAGAAGGCTTTTTTATTGCTAATCATTTTCTGGTGCACAAGTAGCAAGGAAAAACACAATAAATTCAACCAGAACAGAAAAATCTGAAAGAAAATATTCAGTCATAAGCTTTGAAAACAAAACTTATTTTTAAATAATAATTTATTTATTATTATTTAATAAATAATTATTTATTTATTATTTGAAATGTAATTGTTAATTGAAATACATTTTCAGTAATTTTACTAGACCAATTATTTATAAATGACAAATGAGGCAACATTTGCTTGGTAATATGTTTAGTTTATAAAACTGTTACACTTATTAAGATCTTTTGCATCTAGGTATCATATTAATAAAGTTGTATATTAGTTGACTATTCTAAAATAGTAGAAAATACAGCATATTTCAGGTAAAGCAACTATTTTCATTTTGCTAAATGAAGTAAAGTAAATGAACTAGATTCATTTCTAAATAATATAAATGGTTTGGATTCAATGTTATGACAACCTATACTTTAAAAAAAAATCCAAATAATAATGGCTGGGATTGAGCATATGTTCAATCAAAACCAAAAAATGATTTCAGATTAGCAACATTCCACCATTTTTGTTGTAGTTGCTATTCTACACTGACATTAAATTTTCCATTCTTAATTTCAGGGAAAGGCTTTTAAGTATTTTTGAAATGGACAAGGGAATTTGGAGGGTGCTTGCAGTATAATTAACTTGCTTTGAGTTAATTCTGGCTCATCTTACCTGATATATTAGTCTTTTATTGCTAGTTCTCATCAGGTCTAGAGCTACTGAAATTCTGAATATTACTTGGGAGATGATAAACTGAACAGTAGGTAGGGCTTCAATTGATTCTTCATAGAACACAGTGCTATACACCTGATTATCCAGTTAATTTAATTTTTGTAAAGACTACTAAAGTATGTAGCAAATGTAACTGCAGGGTGATTGTTATGTATTGTTATATTGGTCTAATGACAGACTTTTCCTTTATTCATTTTCTTTATCCAATGATTGCAGCATTTATCTTATGGCAACAGCAGCTTGCGTGTGGATGCAGCTTTCCAGCAAACACTTTGGAGTGTTGCCCCAATCAGTTCCGGAAGTGAAGTAGCTCAAGGTACCACTGTTATAATAATAATTGTCATTGTGCTTTAGGTTTGTTGTTTCCGTAATGTGACAATGACTGCAATCCCCTGCAAAGAATTGCAATACAAAATAAGCATTCTTCAGATTCTTATATTAATCCATTTAGGAGAAAACATTAAGGCAGATGGTAGTCCTGTTTGTTATAAAATTAGATTTACTCATGAATACTTAATTCATAATAAATATGAAAGGGAAGACAAGTAGGTGTTTGGCAAATAATTGTCTTAGCATTGGATTTTTAGAGTCCTCTTAGCCACCTACAGTACTATCAATTTTTTTATAATCTACCCATTCTTTTGCATACCATAAAAGCTATCTTGAGAGAGGTTGCATTAAGGGTGACTTGGCTTTGTTTTTTTTTTTCATATATAAAATACATAGGGATCACAGGTTCATATTTTCCTGCTAAACAGTTACTGTGATTACATGTAATATTTTCACCATGAAAAAAATAATAATGCTAAAGTGTCATGTTGTCAAACAGATAATAAGTATTAATTGAAAATAAGCAAGTTTTATACATTTGGCATATACTAACATCAATATAATAGCTTTGTGGAAGGGAAGCTATTCTTAAATTTTTGCTGTAGAAAATTCTTCCCACCTTTTCTGTGCTATTTTTAATTTTTCTGATGCTTTTGAGTATGTTGATTTCTTGCAACGTCTTAGACTAGTACCTGAAGTTTTCTTGGCAACATTTTTCAGAAATGGTTTGCCATTGCCTTTTTCCTGAGACCGAGAAAGAGTGACTGGCTCAAGGTTACTCAGCTGGTTTCATGCCTAAGGCAAGACTAGAACTCACATTCTCCCAATTTCTAGCTGGTGCCTAAACCACTACACCAAACTGGCTCTCGTTTCTGTGTTTACTAAAGAAGCTATATTCAAACTTTTAGTGTATAAAACAGTTAAGTTTCTTTTGCACTGGTTTGCTTGGCAATTTTTTTTCATGAATATTTGAAAAGACTAAGTTTTCAATCTATCATAGAGGCTTCACCATTTTAGAAGTATGGTTCAGCCCTTCAGAATATTTGTATCAAAAACATTTATTTTCTTTATCCTATGATGCAGAAAAAGTTCTTAGATAATCAATTAATTTTGTTGAATAGTACAGTTTTTTCTCTAGCCATTATTAATCTCTGTAATGACAGTATCTAATCCTTTGAAATTAATTATGGCATAGCACATGAACAAAACATGAAGTCTATTTTATTCAGGATTAATTCATAATTGAATAGATTTCTATTTGAAAAATCCACATTTTGCTCACACTTTATAGATAATAGAGATAATCTGAGTGTGTAAAGGAAAATTAAAATATAATTAATGCATAAAAACTTGTTTTTGGCAAGTGAATTATATGTATTGTTCCATGCAGACTTCAGATAGTATTTATAGAAGTTCTGTATTGTACAGCATGCCTGTAGAGACTATGCTTTGGAAGCAATGAAGTTTTCATAGCATTTAATGACGAATGCTTCATGGTGCATGAAATTGTCTCATTAAATGACAATACATGCTTTTCTGAATCTATCATTTCCATTTGTCCTAGTGTAGTCTTTTGAAAATTAAATGTAAAACTTCAGATTGGGGAGAAATTGAATTAATATCAAGAATATTTAGAAGTTGATGGAAAATTATAGGGAGATAGGATTAATCTTAAAATATACAACCTGTCATTTGCTCTGCATTATAGGCTATCTAATAGGAGGTGATGTATTGAGGTTATTACATGGTCATATGGATGAATGCCTGACAGTTCCTTCAGGAGAACATGGAGAAGAGCAGAGAAGGTAAATGTTTGTTAAACAAAACAAAGGCCATTAAGGGAATCTGCTTAAATACCGTGTTTCTCACATAATAAGGCCGGGCCTTATTTTTTTTTGACCCCCGAAAAACCGGCTAGGCTGTCTTTTCAGGGGTGACTTAATTTCCTCCCCCCCCTTGCATCCTCGGGTGGGCGGGCGGCGACAGCTTGGATGTTCGGGAGACCTTCCATCACCGTTGCTTTCCCTTCTCCCTTGCTGCCGTAGCGTTACAGAGCCGTACGGGCTGGGCAGAACCAGGAAACACCCCCGGCTCACTTTCCCGGCTCTGCCCAGCTCGCACGGCTCCGGCGCGGCCCTGATGGGATGAGCGGAGGTTTTAAAAATAATTCACTTTACCTTCAAAGGCAAAGGGAAGGCGGCCACAGGAGCGCCTGAAGCCAAGTGTCTCCTCAGGGCTCCGGTTGCAGGGAGGAGCCCTGACTGGCTGCACGTGGCTACGCCAAACGCCGCGGCGTTGCTGTAACGCTACGGCAGCAAGGGAGAAGGGAAATTAACGGTGGCGGAAGGTCTCCCGATATGAAGTGCTCCACCAACGCAGGCAGCACCATATCCGGGCATGCAACAAAGTACTTCCTAACGGCAAGCCCCCCCCGCCATTCCCCCCCCCCCCATTTCGCATGTTTAATATGGGCCTTAATTTTGGGGGAGGGGCTTAATTTGATTTTATGCCAATAAATCATGCTGGGGCTTCCTATTGGTGGAGGCCGTATTGTTGGAGAAACACGGTAGATATACATCCACGTACACTTAGACATGGTGAGCCTATATTGATCTATTCATTAAAATTACCATGAATGCAATTTTGTAATGCCCTGAAAAGCAAAGGATTTTGCAACAGAAATTTGGACTGTATATGGTTTGAAATTGATTTGGAAGAACTGCTTTGGATCTCATGTACCACTTGTCTGCCATCAATTAAAGCATATTTATTTTTTCATAAAAATAAAAAATTGACAACTTGTACTATACTTTAATGAACAATACTGAGGTCTCTTTCACTCTTTCCAAATGACAAAATGTGCACAGCTCTAAAATAAGTACATACAGCTTCATTGTAATCAAATAGCAACAAATTATTTAACATTAATTAAAAGAAGGTTTAGGTGACTGGTTTTTGAATGTTAATATTTAATCTAATCCTAACGTAAAAAATATTTGGAGAAAAGTCTCCCTATTAAAGATATAACCACATGATTTGCTAGATATGCAGTTGTCAGGTTGTCCTATAGTCCTATCAGAATCTGAAGAGGAGAAACTTGCAAATGCTTAACTTGGCTGTCAAATCCAATGGATATTGTAGAATTTAACTGGAAATTTAATTTTTACCTAATCATATTTGATAAAAAAATTGCTTAGGCCAATGTATCCAGCCCCTGGCTCCATGTAGAAACACAAATGAAAGGATCTCTGAGAGGTGAAGGGAGCTATCATTTTGCTGGGTGATTGATTACACTATTGAACTACTCTTACTGTTAGGAAGGATTTCCCCTCCCCCAACAATCTGAATGCGTCTTCTGGTAATTTCAATTCATTCTTCCATCCTGCACTTTGGAATGCATGAGGATAGGTCTTATTTTATATAACATCCTTTCTAATATATGTAGTCCTTGACTTATAACTAATTGCTTAATGACTGCTTGATGTTGCAAAGCCTGCCCCTCCAAGCTACTTGAGATCCATTTTTGAAGTTACTATACCCCCCCCCCCCGTTCCTCCTTCTCATGGTCACATGACTGCATTTTGGACGCTTGGCAACCTGCTCACATTTATTACATTTGCCATGCTTCAGAGTCACATGACCAGATTTACGACATTTTTTGCTGGTTTCAGCAATTACTTCTGGTTCCTGGCAAAAGCTCCCATTGTGGAAAATTGATCCCCCTAACAACTGTTGCATTTGCTTAATGACTGCTGCAAAAACTGTCAAAAAATTGGGTCCAGTCACATGATACCTCAATTTATGACCGCAAGGACCTATGACCATAATTCTGGCCTCAATTATGATCATAAGCTGAGGGCTATCTATATTTCATGGGATTATCCTCTTGACCAAGGTCAATTTTAATTCAGTGAAAATAATATATTTTCCTGAAATATAGTATTTCCAAACCTGGTGTTGAGAATTTTTATGAAGTATTTTAGGAAATTTAAAATAAAATTGAATTAAATTGAATAAGTAAACACTTACTAAAGCATACATTTCTACATTCCTATGAATTATATTGAAAAAGTTGGTTGGTAGCAAACTTGACCAAGGACTCTGTCCAAGATGTTAGGAAGCTTGATAAGAATAGATAATACATTCTTAACAAAATTCACATAACCCATTTCCCAGTTAAAAATGACACATTATTTAAAATTAAAAGTGTTAAAGGGGTTTCTGACTGTGAGAGGCCTTTTTATGAGAAAAACATTGCAACAAGTAGATAAATCTTGAATTTTATAGGAACATTTCTTCTCAGTATAACTTGATCATCTGAGCAGTTCATAGAAAAGGGCTAGTCTGAAGTGAATTAAAGTTTGAATTAGCCCACGGCCTACAGAATTAGTCAATTTGTTATCTTCATTTACTGAAAGTAGAAATAATATTTTAAAACCTTCTCATTTTCTTGTTGTTTGTTGCCCATAGTACCTAGCTAGGGCTTGCCTGAGGGATTGGAATGTGGGAGAGATACAAAGTCATCTACCGTAGTAGCTGCTGTGTTAGCTGAACTCAGAAGGAAAAGTAATTATCTTGTGTCACTACATTTTTTGCTGGAAAAATATTGTCCAGAGGAGAAATATATATCTTTTGAGAATGTTGGTTATCATTACATTGAATACCTGTCTCATTCAAACAGACTTTGCCTAAGGAGACAGATTCATTGAATTCTCAAAATATAAATGATCATCGTTTACACTATATCACTATATTCCAGTATTTATACTTTTCTCACTTTTGTGATGCAGTTCTTCAGTTGAAAATGTGTATGTAAATGAAAGTGTAAAATTGCTATTTTTAAAAGAAGATAAAATCACATACAAAATACATATGGGGGAGAAATGTGCATGAAGATGATTATGCAGGTAATCCTTCACTTATGACCACAATTGAGACACAGTTTCTGTCGTTAAGCAATTAAGTGAGCATTGCCCAATTTTATGAGCTTACATAAATACAACCTCACTGCAGTTGTTAAGCGATTTCTTTCATGGACTTTGCTTGTTGGAAGCCAGTTGGCAAGGTGGTCACATGATCAGGGATGCTGCAGCTGTCGTAAATATATGCCAGTTGCCAAGCACTCAAATTTTGATCATATGACTATTAGGATGCTATGTCAGTTATAAGTGCAGGAACTGATTATGACCCACTTTTTTCAGTGCCATTTGAAGGGTCATTAAATGAATGGTTATAAGTCAAAGCTATCTGTACAGGCAGTCCTTGAGTTATGGCCACAATTGAGCCTAAAATTTATGTTGCTAAGTGAAACATTTGTTAACTGAGTTTGCCTCATTTTACTTCTTGCTGCAGTTGTTAAGTGAATCATTGCATTTTTTAAGTTCGTAGCATGATTGTTAAGTGAATCTGGATTTTCCATTGATTTTGCTTGTCAGAAGGTCGCAAAAGCTGATCACATGATCCTGGGACACTGCAAACTTCATAAATATGAAACAGTTGCCAACTGTCTGAATTTTGATCATGTGACCATAGGGATGCTGCAGCAGTCATAAGTGTGAAAAATGGTCATAAGTCATTTTTTTCAGTGCTGTTGTAACTTTGAACAGTCACTAAATGAACTGTTGTAAGTTGAGGACTACCTATATTGTTTTATGCATATCATAATTTATAGTTACATAGTTCCCCATTTTCAACCTTAAGTTGAAAGGTTGCATACATACTTAAGGGTGAAAATATGAGGAACTGTGTACCCCTAATTTAGCCCACACTTAGGTTGTGTTGAATGATAAAAAACAGATTATATTCAGAGAACTCATTAGTTCAGACTTATGATCTTCTGAGTATCTCCAAATTGCTTTGAGAAAATTAAGTCATAAGCAAATGATTTAACGATATTTGGCTCTTTTTCCTCTGAAGTAAACATGAAAATGGATATATTATGCCTCTCTGAGGCAAAAGTTTCATTCATCCTTAAAATTTCCCATGTTCTTTTTCAATTTAAAAAGTAAGTCTACCTATTTAGTGGACTTAATTGAGTTACAGATTTATCCTTCTCTGGTCCTCAAAAAATAATTTTAAAAAATTCCCCCTCCCCCCCAAAAAACAATGTGCAGCCTCCTGATTGAAGAAAATTCTCTGGATTAAGTGGATTAAATGTTCAAATCTTTGCCCAGTGAAAGTATTCCTTCTGATTACCCTAAAACAGTACCAATGATTAAACACAGATTCTGAGATTGTTAAATGCATGCACTTTTCAAATTGTTTACCTGTCGAGCCCTGATCTGGGGCTCACAATACCTGGGGTGATGGGGACCTGAACGAGGCCACACGCTGACAGAGAGGATGGAGGAACAAGAGAGCTGAGTGCAAGCACGGCTGGACTTCTGGGTGCTGTACCCCACTGCCGGTCATCAGTTGGCCACTCCGTGGCTGCTGGTTTTGGGGAGGAAGGGCTGCTGTGCGTCTGTTACAAGACATCTGGGACTGCTGCTTTGTCAGGGGCTGCTTGCTTGACAGAATGGGACTCCTGTTTGCTATCAGAAATGTGGAAACCAGAACATGGCTATGGACGGGGAGGGAGATGAGCCAGCAGGGAGGCTGTTCCAGATGTTGGGTGACTAGGGGTATGTGGCTAGGTGCTGGGTGTCTGAGGGTGTGTGGCTGGGTGTGGGTGTTATGGTGGTTAGCAAAATAAAATTCCTTGACTTTGCAAGGAATTTCAACGTTCTCACTCACTGTGTACCAAGGAACCAGACTGAGAGTAAAGACTGGTTGCTGCTAAGGTGTTGTGGGGATTTTTTGTGTGAGTTGTGGTTTTTCCCTTGTTCCAGCCTTGGACCTTTGAGAGAAAGTCAGCGCTGACACTTAAATGGAGCACTACATTTTAATTAAATACATTAATATCACATTAAAATCAATTAATTTCAGATTACCTTTATATAGTAATCCTCAATTTTATATTTAACAGCTACTGTTTCTATTCTGAGTTATGATAATCTCCAAAATTGTGTAAGGCAAAGTATTTTACTGAACACAATATGATTATAACATTACCATATAGTAAAATTTCCTGAAGAGTAGATTATATTGTGCCCTTAAAAGCTCATCATAAACAGTACAAAAAAGATAACACAAATAATTAAATAGTCGAAACAATTCTCTTGTGAAGAAAATAGTCAAACAAACAAAGTTGTGGGGGAGGAAGATTTATACCAATTTCTTCCTCATGTAATGATCTGCCCAACATGCAGTCACCTGATCATGGTGTGTGTGTGTGTATGTGTGTGTATGAGACAATTTACAACAGGGGTGCTTTATGGTCTATAAATCACCTATTCTGTGACTGCTATAACTTAGAACAGTCATACACATCTCAAGGCCTCTGAATTTATATCTTGATATTAAAATAATGAATAACAATTAAATGACCTTTTGAAAAATATGGCAATGTAGCTTTAGTAGATATCCATTCCGGCTTCACAGTGGTTGTTTAAGTATCTTTTAAATAAAGTGTATTTTATAGCCATAGAACTGAAGGACGAAAAAGTTAAAGGCTCTGTGGAAAGGTCCTTGTGGGAGATTCATGAGTGCATTTTTCAAAAATCCTTCTTCACAAGTGAGCTTTTTTCCTTTTCCCAGTTGAATATTTATTTACAGATTTGTTCTTCCTTTGGTTCTTTTCTTTTTTTTTAAAAAAAACACCCCTATATATAGTTTTGCACATAGTTCATTTTTTCCCTGTGGTAGCAATTTGTAAAGACAGCCACTATAATAAAATATTCTCCACAGTATCTTTAAACTTGCTATAGTCTAATAAATAATGTTATGCATAATTGTAATTTATTTATAAGCACTGCAGTCTTATTAGTCTATAGTTGGGAAAGGAAATTATTTATTTAATGTGGAAATATATAATGATAAAGAGTTGGTTTACTTATACCAATTAACTGGCTATTTAGAAGCACAATATATTTGCTAGATAGTTTTGAAGAAGGGTGGTATTAGTCTATGGTGGCAAAACATCAAAGGAATCAGGATATTGTATGGCAGACAATCATGTGACATTTTGGCAAACAAGAAATTAATAGTATTGAGTGAAAGATTGCTGATACATCAGCAAAAGTTGATACATCAAAAAAGTTCCAGGCAATCTCAGAATGTCTCAGTGAACATAATGGGTTTTTAATACAATATATTAGAGTTATTACAAGTCTTAATTGATTAGTATTTATAATCTGTCTCACATGAAACCTGCATCTCTATAATCAAACTGTCTTTCTTCCCTACTTTCACCCACTTCCCAATTTAAATCCTGCATCAGTTTAACCAATTTTATGCATCTGATGTAGTTAGTTTGTAGCCCACAAAACACTTTTAATTTCCTCCTTGTAATTTCTTGGAAAAGAGTATAAAAGATTCTGCTACAAATGTCTGTAGGAATGGATTTTGATTTTTGTGTTAAATTAAGGATGGAAGAAGTGAAAGTCACCTACGAGAGACTTTAAAAAAATGAAGAACTGGAGATTTTGCAGTTTGTAAAATGTTTAATTTGGCTGAGGGATTTCTCCTGCTCTTCTCTGTCATCTCTATACATTGCAAATATAGTTTCGATCAGGGGTGGGATTCTACTGGTTCTGTCCACTTTTGTAGAACCGGTTGCTCTGAAGAGCAGTAGACAGAGAACATACATATAACCGGTTCTATGTCTGCTGCTGTTTTGGCCCATCCACCCGCCCTGGCTCTTACCTGATCTTTATTTCTTGCTTTTTCTACCGTAGCTGCATGCGTGCGCAAAACGTAAAATTACCGAACCGCTAGTTACACCGGTTGGATCCCACCCCTGGTTTCAATGTCTGCACAGATACCATCCATATGTTCTACAGCTGAGTTGATTTTGGTAACTCTAAATACTCCCTCGCATTACATAACTGAAGGATATCGAATTGTATACCTTACTTCCTTCTGATTACAATTGATTTAACTTCCTGTTCAAGGTTGCTGTGCCTTCTGAATTTACTATACTTTTTCTTGCATTTTTAAATAATTACTCTGCATTTTCTCCCCCTAAATTTACTGTTTGTCCTTTTTTCAGTACCATGATTCGCAACCTGCATGTCTTGGCTTGTTTAGATGGTGTATCAAGTGTGTCAGTGTCCCAAATTCATATTAAGCAAATGCTGTGAATAATAAGCTGGGAAGCTAGATAGCCAATGTAACTGATAATTCAGTCTGTGCAATTCAGTGCATTGGCTGGTTTTCATGGTGATGTTGCTAGCCCTGTTCCATGCTACTACAAACTTGTGGCAGGGGCTAGTTTTCATTATTCCAATTCAAAGGCTTCACAGATTAGTATTGTGAAGCATTGTGCATTGTATGGACCTGGGTCTACCAGACTTTTCCTAGCAACAATATAATTCTTGGAGACAAAACACCCCTTTTTGAATGCCAGCTGACAAAATCCCACTTTGAAACTGCTATTTTGATTTCTGTCCTTTTGGGGACATAAGAAATAGGGAATTATCCTAAACACTGAGCTTGATTGCATGTTCTAAAATACATGGGTGGTTTATATCAATTGCTTTAATCTACTTTTTCTTAGATTGTGTAGATTATAGGGCATAATCAATCAAGGCTATTTCATGAATTATCATTGCAGTGCCATCATTATTTGGTGTACTCTCTTTTCCTTGACTATTCTACTTGAAATGTAAATGCTTCTCTGCACAGAAGCAAACAAAGTTTTCCATTCACAGGATTTTGCTTCTGTTGTTTCATGTTTCCAAGATGAGATAGTACCCTGAAACCAAGTCTCATGATGTGTTGTTTCATTACTCCTTGTACATTTTAGGTTGAGATTTTTGCATCTATACTTTCACAATTGTATCACAGAGATTGGTTAGTGTAGGTTGTTTTGAACAGTGTATATTTCTATATCAGCATTTATATGGATCATAAATCCAGTTCTTTCAATTCAAAGTGTTTCCCTCTGGTCTTTCAATAGCACCTCAAGTATTTACAAAGTTCATGCATATGTGGTGATCTGCTCATCAAGGAATCTAGATATTTTCTTTTTCCAGTGATTCATTATTGATCTATCTGATGGTAGAAGATGTGTGTATCAACTTCATTATTAAATTAGCTATTCTAGATTTTAGATATATATGACAACTATGAAAATCTCAAATTACCTTACAACCCACATTTTCTAGCGCTTATGTTTAATTCTTGTAGGATCAATTTTTCTTGCGTCTAGCAAGGTAATGATGCTCATTGCTCTTTTCTTTATATATTTTTGTAAATTTCATTTGAGCTCAACTGCTTATACCCATTCATCATTCCTACCATTGGTAGCACAGTCCTATCATCTCACTCAAGGATTTCTGTTTTTTCCCACATTTTCTCCCATATGACTAACTTTTAGTTATTAAAGAAGATAAGTTTCCAGGGCATGACTATAAGACAGATATGATCTGCTTCAAAAAAAGAAGCTGTTTGTCAATATGAATAAACTTCAGTTTAGAAGACCTTAAACTTTCAAGAGAAGGTTAACAGGCAAGATAATCCACATGGCCAAGAATAAATCTTCAACTATATTTGAAGTTGTTTTCAATAAAGAAAGGTTGATTTGCAGTGAGATATTAACCATAAACAAATTTTGTTAGCAATTTTTTTTCTTAATTAGGATACTGCTTTTACAATGTTTTCAATTTCAATCTACACTTGCTGTGCATTGACAATAAACATTTGGTTGGTTTGATTGATTCTTTCTGCTTCAATCTCGCAGTTCAAAATACTATCGGAAATCATGGCATAATATATTCCTGTTTGGTCTGACCTTCTTGTTTAGACCACTGTCTTGAAATCTGGATTATGTAATTTACTATGCTTGATTAAATAACATTATGTTCAATGCTATGTTAACTGGCCTGCTCTACCTCTGATAAGTGTAGTTTACTATGCAAGGAACCATAATAAAGAGGGACAATTTGCTCACTAACTGTTTCGTTGATTGGCAGTCTCTGCATTCATACAAATTTCTGCTTTCCCAGTGTGGGTACTTACCTCACTGAGGTAAGTAATAGTCCTTCATGTATGCACAATAGAAGGAAACATTTGGCACCCCTTCAAATCAGTTCAGCTCTGGAATGTTCCGATGGTATCTGCCTAGGGACATGAAATTCATTCAATGAATGCACAGAGGACTGCTTACAAAACTACAGAAACAGGTAAACAACCTGATCCTTTTCTAACTTTTAAAAAGCCTGAATGCTTACAAGAGCATTGTGCTCTTTGGATCTTCTCTCTTTCTCCAGCACTTTCAGGAATGAGTATATGGCTATGCAATAGGACATGGCCTTGTCCTTCCAAGAACCTCGGAAGGAGGCAGCTTTTAAACTAATTTCTTAATGCAGCATTATAAAACTCTGAATTTTTAAAAGTTAAGAAAAGACATGAATTCACCACCTTATGGTTTTTAAAAATGAATGCTGTTCACTTTGGTTGCTTTTTAATACACACCCACACATCCCTTGCAAATAGAAGTTGTCCTATTGCATTGGTTAGGATATTATGTAATACAGTCTAATGCATGCTCTTTTACTGCTTTGAGAAAGGTTATCTAGGATTAAAAATGTAAATTTTAAAAGAGTTTATGAGTGTGCACACATTGTTTTGATTATTGTACATATATTTATTTTAGCCAATTTCTGCACTGGTCAAATACATTTTCCTAGGGAAAACAATTGGTTTTTATCACAAATACCTAAAAAAACTCAGAAAATGTCTTTTGTGTTGTAGAACTGTCCATTATGAAGGTGGTGCTGTGTCAATTCATGCTCGTTCTCTTTGGCGACTGGAGACTTTGAGGGTTGCGTAAGTAAATGCTGGCATAATATATCCATTATGACAACTAATATTCCCTTTTGTCAAGTGAACAGGAGTTTTTTGTTGTTATTGTTGAAAAAATCATAGTATGCTAAAAGGTTTTGATTCCATTTGGAAGTAGTACCAAGATTATAATGTGCAATGACTTAAGATATCATTTGAAATTTATTGTAAGTATGTGTATTGATGCATACTGCTGCTAAATACTGTTTCTTGCAAATTATTTGTTTTGAGGAAATCCTGCAGAAATGGATGCCTATTGATTGATTGCTTAATGAGAGTATCAGTGAACAAAGGTTATGTCATAGTTCTGTTTGAAAAATTAAAAGCTAGTCGCTGAGATTTGTAGCATTTTCAAATCTGATTAGCTTCAGATTATGATTTGTTAAATGGACAGTATTTTTGCTTGAAATTCAGTTTGGCAGTAATGTTGTGCTAGCTACTACACAAATAATTGTATAAGGAAGTATTTTCTTTCATATCAGAACATATTCCAGACACGCAGTGAATTTGTGCATATTTGTTCTTTGCTTTTGAAAGTGAAATATTTAGTTAAAAATAATTAAAATGATTATTCTAATAATTAGCATACCTCTGTCTTTTTTATCCATACATAAATACACAATGCTTAAAGCAAGCAAGTCAATTTCAGTTGCTGGGAGAGGATTTTTCTGTCAATGCATGTAGGTCAATTTGATGTATTATATAAAGAATGAATATTTATTACATATGATATTGTAAAAAGAACTCAGCATTTTACAGCCTTCTACTTGTATCTGGGAATGTGCTTAACTGAACCTATTATTTTTCTTTTTTGTTCCCAAAACACTGGAGCAGTAGGTTATATGATGAAAATGTGGACAATATGTTGTTATGAACTCAGTTTTTACAATATTACAAAGATTCCAATTAAATATAAATGAAACAGAATCCACCGAAATATCTCTTATGTGGACTTTACAGGTCTCATTTCTTTCTGTTGATTTCATGGATGCAGATCTGTTTGTCTTCTGATGGCCATGTGCATGGCTCATCTATGATTTGGTGGACCTGGTCAACCAAAACAATTAGATTGGCTTTCTGTTGAAATTAGCAAGTGTTCTTAGCTGATAGGTTGAGGTCTTGTTTGATGTCTGCTTTAAATGTTTTATAGTTGAGATATCACTGAAAAGTGATTTCAGCATATCTTTAATTCTAGAAATAAAATTGAATGTTCATGTTTTCATTTAAAGTTAATACTTTAAATTGTTTATGAATGCTAATTTTATTTTTTTATTAGATGGAGTGGAAGTCACATTAGATGGGGGCAGCCATTCAGATTAAGACATATAACAACAGGGAAATATTTAAATCTCATGGATGATAAGAGTCTCCTTTTAACAGACAAAGAAAAAGCTGATGTGAAATCTACAGCATTTTGTTTTCGATCTTCCAAGGTAAATACTTGTAATATAAGTTATTTCTCCATTTAATTTATTTTAATTTAATTTACTAATTTAATTAGATTTTTTTAGACATCACCCAATCCAAACTGACTCTGAGTGGTGTACAATCAAGCCAAATAAAAATAGAAAATTCAATATATTAACAAATAAATAAGGAATGGAATACGGAACATGAACTGGCCCTATTCCAGACATTGACCACTCTGTTGCTGAAGTCGTATTTCCTGCAATCAAGTTTGGTGCAATGAACCTTGAGTTTGTATCTATTGTTTGCTCTTGTGTTGTTATGGTTGAAGCTGAAGTATTCATTGACAGGTAGGACATTGCAATGTATGATTTTATATACTATACTTAGATCGGACCGAAGGCGGCATAGTTCTAGGTTTTCTAGGTCTAGAATTTTGAGTGTGGTGGCATAAGGTATTCTGCAACGAGTAGAGGAATGGAGAACTCTTCTTGTGAAATATTTCTGAGCTTTCTCAACTGTGTTAATATCAGATACGTAATGTGGGTTCCAGACTGATGTACTGTATTTGAGTATTGGTCTAGCAAATGTTTTGTATGCTCTAGTTATTAGTGTAATATTACCAGAGAAAAAGCTACGTAAGATTAGATTAACAACTCTTAATGCCTTTTTGGCATTATTAGTTTGATTTGGGGTGTGTGTATGTGTCTGATAAAACCATTGTTGAAAAGTCTCTTAATGACCCAACAATTCATGTTAAAAAGATAATAATTGTATTTGGCTGGAAGAAACTATTAGGGAAAAATGTATGGGAAACAAGGGCTGAATCAGACTCTGGAACAGATATATAAGCACAGTCCCCAAATTAAAAAAAAAAGCTTGAATAACAAAGTGTCATATGGGTTGTGGACAGAAGATACATTGGGAAATGAGAGTGTGTTTGAATAGGAGAAACAATTATTGGGTCTCAGAATATTTTCCAAAGGGAACCCCTTTCTTGATATGATGAGTAAGTAATATAGTTAAAGCAGCAACATTGGGAATAAAATAATGAAAAAATGGCAAAGTCCTGAAAATGCTGTACATTCTTAATAGTGTATATGTGTGGGTGGGTGTAGGAGGGTGGTCCAGGATGGAACAGATTCAAATTTAGCTGGATATATCTGAAGTTTATTCTAAGAAATTTGGTGGTCCAAATAAACCAATGGAGGAAATGCTTTTTTTTTCAACTTAAGATAGAGTTTGTGATTGTACAGATGCTACAGACTGTCCTACTTGCTGCATGTGCAAAGTTGGATCCTCAGATTAAATAAGTTAATTGTCCAAATAAGTAATCAGAAAAATGTACAATTGGTTCTGAAAAAACATGATTCATGAAACTTTGGAAGATGGAGCTGTTTGGATACTAAAGGTCATTATTGTGGATGTATACTAAAAATAAACACTTCAATATTCATTCCATTCTTTGATTTGAATTAGACCTCAGGGTAGTTTACAATTTAATTTAGTAGGGAAAAAAACAGGCTTTCTGCAGCTGTTACAAAAGCCTAGAAATAAGAGGAAGAAGGCAATGATCCATAATGATTTTAGATTAAAAGAACCAGCAACTGTAAACTACTGGGAGTGAGCCATCCTTCTTAACAGCAAATTTGCAGGGAAGGAAAAACAGTAGATAAAGCCTTTCTGCAATTTCTCACCAGTCCTTTAGGGTAGACAGTTACATCTTTGACATTGACTAGTGATGTTTTGCTTGGCTTCATGAATGACCTTGATAGCACAGTCCCAGAGACTGCGTTTCCCCCTTTCCAAAGACGTCAGTATTGGCTGTATAATTGTTAGCTAGAAAGGAGACGCTCCCAATGTGAAGTACTACTTGTCTTGTGAATTATAATTTGGTTCCTTAGGTCTTCCATCTGTAGCTGAATCCATCCACTATCTTTGCTGCTATCCTCTTCTTCTTTTTCCTTCCACCTTTCCCAGGATTAGAGTCTTTTCCAGAGAGCTAGACCCTTCAGATGTGTGGTTTTTTTTACTTCTTCAAAGTCCCAATTTCTGCTTCCATAAAGTATTACAGGGAAGACCTTTGCTTGCATTGTTCCAAATTTAAATTGTCTGTAAAGTGGAGTGAAAACAGGTTCTGTGAGAAAAACGTACTTCCGGATGATGAAGGATTTTATGAAGTGGTAGATAGCACTGGACTCTGGAAGAATATGCAGAGTCCATCTGTCTCTAGCATAGAGGAATGATTAAATGAAGATATGTACATAACTTGGCAGGTCTGAGCTATGTTTAATATTTATCTATTTATTTATTTGATTTGTCAATCGCTTACAAGATAATAGATATAAGTATAAACTTGAGTAAGAATACAGGAAATAGGTACGAATAAATGGGGACAATAGGACAGGGATGGTAGGCATGATGGTGCACTTATGCACACCCCTTGCAGGCCTCTTAGGAATGGGTGAGGTCATTAGTGGATAGTTTGAGGTTAAAGGAGTGAGGGTTAGAGGATGTAACAACAGAGTCAGGTAGTACGTTCCAGGCATTGACCACTCTGTTGCTGAAGTCGTACTTTCTGCAATCAAGTTTGAAGCGGTTTACATTGAGTTTGTATCTGTTGTGTGCTCTTGTATTGTTGTGGTTGAAGCTGAAGTAGTCATTGACTGGTAGGACATTGTAGCAGATAATTTTGTGTGCTATGCTTAAGTCTAACTGTAGGTGGTGTAGTTCAAGGTTGTCCAAGCCCCAAATCTCTAGCCTGGTGATATAGGGTATTCTATTGTGAGCAGAGGAGTATAGTACTCTTCTTGTGAAATACTTCTGGACTTGCTTGATTGTATTAATGTCTGATATGCAGTGCGGATTCCAGACTGATGAGCTGTATTTGAGTAGTGGTTTGGCAAAAGTTTTGTATGCTCTAGTTAGCAATTCGATGTTTCTGGAGAAGAAGCTTTGTAAGATTAGATTTACAACTCTTAATGCCTTTTTGGCAGTGCTGTTACAGTGAGCTCTGGCACTTTGGTCATTTGATGTAAGAACTCCAAGGTCCTTGAGAGTGAAGATCATCAATGAGGTCATATCCGCCTAGTTGGTATTTGGTGTACTGATTTTTTTTTTTACCAATGTGTAGGACAGAACATTCGTTGGTCGAGATTTGGAGTTGCCAGATGTTTGACCATTGAGACACATAATCAAGGTCACTTTGAAGGACAGTAGCATTGTCAGTGGTGTTGAATAATTTTACGCCATCTGCAAAGAGGACATAGTTGCTTATAAGGTGATCACAAAGGTCATTTATATAGAGTATAAAGAGTGTGGGTCCTAGAACGCTGCCTTGGGGGACACTGCTGTTAACTGGAGCAGGGTTTGATATAGCGCTCCCTATTTTTACTATTTGTTGCCTGTTTGACAGGAATGCAGTAATCCACTTATGGACAGATCCGGAAATGCTGTAAGAGTTTAGTTGTAACAGTAGTTTGTCGTGTACCACTGAATCAAAGGCTTTGCAGAAGTCTATGTAAATTGCGTCTATAGCTTTACCCTGGTCAAGTAGAGTAGTTCATATGTGTGTACCACTGTCTCTGAGGCTTTGGAAATTGATACAGACTCATTTTACTAGAACTATAGTGTTTTGAATAACTGCTTGCAACTCCTGCATATAAATAAATGTGACAAAAATGTTGATATTTCAAAAGGGGGAGTTTTAGCAGGACAAATATCCAGTTTCTCTACAGTATAAGCATAGAACCTGCATGCATCGGTGCAATATTTATTAAGAAGAAAATAGAACTCTCAGTTTACATTGTATGAGGAGGGGTGTAGAGAGAGGGGTGTAGGTTTGGTGTTGGAGGGTAGCAACAGAAGCAATAACTGTAGGTTATGTGCAGGAAACAGTGTACATTCTGTTTATTTATTCCATTTATTGGCCTTATCATCCGGATTAACTGTTCCATTTTGGTTGCAATTTTATTATGATACTGGCACAATGTGATGGAATTGGTGATTTGCAATCTTGCTTAATCTTGGGTCTGAGTATGGGCTGATGGCTATAAAATACTCGCTCAACTCTGCATTCTCAAGTAGATTATAGCTTTATTGCAGAGAGTAAGAACATTTTTTTTCTATAATAATATTTACTATATAGCAGCACACAGGAAACTTTCCATATGTCTGACAGACTCAAGGTTTGAGTCCTAGGCTTTTTCGAGGCCAACAAGAGTTTAGCAGCCTTTTTATTTTTGCAGCTTCAAAGCTATCATCTGTTTAATGTCTATCAAATAGCTACTGCTATGAATATCAAGGCTCTCACCTCAACACTGTCATAACCTTCAAAATTCTATATTTTCTTTAAATCGGGTTGGTGAAAATGTTATAAAAGGAATGGAAATATTTATTTTCAAAAAGTTTTACTTTTGATATATTGGTTTGCCAAGAATAGTCTGACTATGATAAAAATATCCTTTCCTTCCTTTCTTCCTTCCCTCCCTCCCTCCCTCTTTCTTTGATTATCCATCTGTTTTATTATGTGCAGCAGGGGTCCGCATCCCACAGCCCACTATAGGGCTGTGGCCTATCCGCAACTGGCCTATCCGCAGCTGTGTGTGCATGCGCACACGTGCGTGCTGACCACTGCATGAGTCAAGTGTGCATGTGTGTGTGCACTGGCCCACCGCTTGCACAGCCCAGTTCCCCTCTACCTCCCTAGCCAGGCCACCAAGCCGCAAAGATTGGGACTGCTGACATTGGGTTTAATATTGGGTTTAGATAAATACTTGACTTGTTCAGAATGAAGAAGGCGCTTGTTATTAATCAAAGTTACCAGAAGCTTTGGGGAAAAGATGTATAACTTCAGGCTATAGTCTTATACCAATTTATTTGAAATAAACTCCATCAAATCAAATGGATGTTACTCTTCAATACAGAAATCACATTTTAAAATATTATTAATTTTTATGTTTATGTTCCAGGTCTTTTTTCTAGCCTACTGTTTTTCAGTAGGCTCAACTGAAATATATCAGCTTTAATACAAAGCTCTGTACTGCTTTATTTTATAGTTACATGTTTTAAAAATTCTAAGAATTGATAAAATAAACTTAAAATATAATATGTGCTAGCTTTTTGATGGAATAGCAATCTTATGAGCCATGTTTATTAGAAAAATATTGCCAAAACCAAATGTTTTTTTAAAAAATGTGTACATGAGCCATTCCCTGCAAAAATTACCATAAACTGAAGAGAGCCTTATTTTATCACACCTACATAAACAAAACCACAGGTGTTTATTCAATTTGTCATTAAAAGAATTCATAGTTGTGATGTAGGAAACTGGCTTGTAACTTTGATATTCTAGTTTGTATGTATAGTACGACATTAACATTATGAATATGTAATGATTTAGACAGAAGAACTATAGAATTCAGTCATAGAATTAGTATTAGTCACAATAATGAAAATGGGAATAATAAAGAGAACTATATACATTTATTATGTGCTTGGAGTAGTTGCTTTTTCTTTAAAGATTACCTGTATCTGTAAAATAAGTGTGCTTAAGTACTATTGAAATTAATATTGTGCCATAGACTAAGCATTATCATTTGTAATGTTAAGCATGCGTACCATTTTCTGTTGAGATAAAACCTTTCACCTTTCAAAATGGTTTTATAGATAACAACTGGCTTCTTTTTCTTTGTAGGAGAAATTAGATTTAGGGATAAGAAAAGAAGTGGATGGCATGGGAACCCCAGAAATAAAGTATGGAGATTCAGTCTGCTTTATACAGCATGTAGATACAGGTTTGTGGCTTACCTACCAATCAGTGGATGCCAAGTCTGTAAGAATGGGATCTGTGCAGCGAAAGGTAAGGAGTTTAAAACAAGGTTATTATATTAAATATAACTTTGATGTGACAAGGAAATTGATGCTGAATGTTGAGATTCTAGGAAGAGTACAGAGAAGAGCAACAAAGATGATTAGGGGCATGGAGGCTAAAACATATGGAGAATGGTTGCAGGAACTGAGAATGGCCGTCTAGTGAAGAGAAAGACCAGGAATGACATAATAGCAATATTCCAATATTTGAGGGGCTGTCAAAGAGAGGAGGGGGGACAACCTACTTTCCAAAGCACACAAAGGCCAGGCAAGGAATAATGAATGGAAACTGATCAAGGAGAGATTCAACCCAGAAATAAGGAGACATTTTCTGACATGAGAACAATCAACCAATGAAACAGCTTACCCTCAAAAGTTGTGGGTGCTTTATAACTGGAAGCTTTCAAGAAGAGACTGGACAACCACTTGTCAGAAATAGTATAGGGACTAGATGATCTAGAAGATCCCTTCCAACTCTGCTATTCTGTTATTTTAAAGTTTACCCAGAACCCAATTTCAACGTGTTTGTCATTCAACCATCATTAGAACTATATCTTGGAGTAGTACTGCTTGCTATGTAAGAGCTCAATCCCAATTCCCCCAAACGGATGTTTTTTGGACTGGAAGGCTTCTATTCTATTGTGACTAGTACTGATTATGTTACCTAGTTTGGGAAATGAAACACATGCAAGAAAATAACCAGGCTCAAAGAGCAGCAAGAGCCCCTCATTTCAAACCTGTGCTACAGATATTTTCCTTTATAGGCTTATATTCATATATTTATACACAACATATATTCACTGTTTCCTTTTTTATTTGTTCATGTGACAAACTTTTTCCTGGACTGCACTGATTGTAATGTTTTTGAAGATACCTCTGCAGACCTAGATGAGCTCACAGATACTGTAACTTCATATGTCAGCTTCTGTGAAGACTTATGAGTACCAACAAGGAACGTGCAAATATATAGTAACAATAAACCTTGGTCCACAGCTAAACTTAAGCAGCTACATCGTTCCAAAGAGGAAGCCTACAGAAAAGGTGAGAGAGTGCTATACAATCAGGGCAGAAACATATTAAGAGAGATCAGAGCAGTAAAAAGAAGCTACTCTGAAAAGTTAAGGAATCAGTTCTCAACAAATGAACCAGCAAACATGTGGAAAACTCTTAAAAACCTCACTGGCTACAGCAAACCTCCTTCCCAGGCAGAAGGAAATCAACAACTAGCAGATGACCTGAATGTGTTTTACTGCAGGTTTAAAAGGAAACTACAACCCCCATCTCAAACACACCAACAACAGCCAAGCCTCCTACAATTGACCCCAACCCATTGGGTTCACAACCTCTGGTGATTACAGAAAAAGAAGTGCAAGATCTATTTCACAGACAAAAGCCAGGAAAAGCACCAGGGCCGGACAAGATAACTCTTTGCTTAAAAGTCTGTGCTGACCAATTGTCTCCCATCTTCAGCCGAATCTTCAATAATTCACTAGAGATGTGCTTTGTTCCTTCTTGCTTCAAATGCTCTACTGTTATCCCAGTGCCAAAGAAGCCCTCCATCAAGGAACTGAATGACTACAGACCAGTTGCTCTAACATGGGCAGTTATGAAAATCTTTGAAAGGCTAGTGCTGTCCCACCTGAAAACCATCATGGATCCACTGTTAGATCCCATGCAGTTTGCATACCGAGCAAATAGATCGACAGATGATGCTATTAATATGGCTCTGCACTACATCCTATAACACCTTGAATCTCCAAATACCTATGCAATACTCTTTGTAGACTTAAATTCTGCATTCAATACCATCATTCCAGACATTCTTCTAACTAAATTAAACCAACTAGTGGCACCTGAACATACTTGTAAGTGGATCATAAGCTTCCTAACAGACAGGAAGCAGCAGGTGAAGCTGTGCAGAATCACATCTGATACCTGTACAATTAGCACAGCCCCCCCCCCCCCAAGGCTGTGTGCTTTATCCACTTCTGTTCTCCCTATATACCAATGATTGCATCTCAAATGATCCATCTGTTAAAATACTGAAGTTTGCAGATGACACAACAGTGATAGGTCTCATTCGAGACAATGATGAATCCGCATACAGACAGGAGGTTGTACAACTTGCCTCATGGTGTAACCAGAACAATCTGGAACTGAACACACTCAAAACCGTAGAAATGGTGGTAGACTTTAGAACAGCGGTCGCCAACTGGTGGGCCGTGAGAAAATTTTGGTGGGCCGCAGAGTAATCTCACCCCCAGAGCACCCCCCCCAAAGCAATTAATCCAGGCTGCGCAGAAACACAAGGCTGCGCCGCCCACATGGCCCGCAGGAACCCTCCCCTCGCACTCACTCCTTACCTGGCAAACTTGCATGCTAAATTGATATTTTTCCTTTTTCCAACCATCTGTTCTGCTGTGCCAGGAGATTTAGATTAGCTAGGAAGCAAGAAATGGTTGGATTTCTTGCTTTCTAGTTGGTCTTTAGATCTTCGGCTTTGCACAGCCGAACCTCCCTTAGGGACTGAAGGTTAGCTTGCAAGCAAATTCAGTGCAGACTCACGGCAAGCAAATTTGAGGGACTGAGCTAGCCGATGGCAGATAGATAGATCACTGAATGATTCTGTGAGCAACTCAATCTGCCTGCTTTGCCTGATTTTGGGTAAAAGTTACCTGATTTTAGGTAAAAGTTGGGTAAAATTCAATATTTATATAAATATTTATAATATTTACATACAAGCCATGCCCAGCCAGTCACATGACCACCAAGCCACACCCACAAATTAGGCCATGCCCCAGAACCGTTAGCGGTCCCTGGGATCTAAAATTATGAGTTTGGTGGTCCCTGAGGTCCAAAAGGTTGGCGACCCCTTCTTTAGAAGAAACCCTCCTATACTACCACCTCTTACAATACTAGACAACACAGTATCAACAGTAGAGACCTTCAAATTTAGGTTCTATTATATCATATGACCTAAAATGGACACCTAACATCAAAAACGTCATCAAAAAAGCACATCAAAGAATGTTCTTTCTGCGCCAACTCAGAAAGCTCAAACTGCCCAAGGAGCTGCTGATACAGTTCTACAGAGGAATTATTGAGTATATTGTCTGTATCTCTATAACTGTCTGCAACCCAACAGGACAGACACAGACTTCAGAGGATAATTAGGACTGCAGAAAAAACAATTATTACCAACCTGTCTTCAATCGAGGACCTGTAGTACTGCACAAGTCAAAAAGAGGGCTGTGAAAATATTTACAGACCCCTCACATCCTGGACATAAACTGTTTCAACTCCTTCTCTCAAAATGATGCTATAGAGCACTGCACTCCAGAACAACTAAACACAAGGACAGTTTTTCCCCGAACGCCATCACTCTGCTAAACAAATAATTCCCTCAACACTGTCCAACTATTTACAAAGTCTGCACTACTGTTACTATTAATCTTCTCATCAGTCCTTATCACCCATCCCCTCCCACTTGTGACTGTAGGACTGTAACTTTGTTGCTTGTATCCTTAAAATTTATATTGACTGTTTCCTAGTATGATTTGACTGCTTATTCTACCTTATGACTATTTTTAAGTGTTGTACCTTATGATTCTTGACTCTTGACGAATGTATCTTTTCTTTTATGTATACTGAGATCATTTGCACCAGGACAAATTCCTTGTTGTCCAATCACACTTGGCCAATAAAGAATTCTTATCTAATCTAATCTAATCTTATTTAAATGTATATGTAAATTGCCTAGCATGCTTTCTGAAATGCAAATACAGGTAGCCCTTGCTTAATGACTACAATTGGAACTGGCAACTCCTTCACTAAGTGGTGTGGCTGTTAAGCTGACATCACAAGGATATAACAGATTTATGACCTCACTTCTACTACAGTTGTTATGCAAGACATCATGTGATCATGATGTGATTTTACTGCCAACTTCCTCATTGATTCTGCTTTTTTGGAAGTTGGTTATAAAGCATTGAAATAGTGATTAGGTGATGCAGGGATTCTGTGTTGGCTGAAAGTACAAAGACAGGTTGTAAAGTTACTTTATTAGTGGTGTCATAACTTTGGTTGCTAAACAGGGCAATAATTAAGCAAGGATTACCTATATTTTATTTATATTGATATAAACACTTTTTGATTACATGAGGACTTTTTACTAGAGTTTAGCAAAATAATAACTAAAGAAATTTCTCTCATTTTTCTTAGCATTATGTTTTACTTGTTTTATAAAATGTAAGAGTTATATAAACTAATATGTGAGGGAAAAGGATATTTCCAAAACTACGGAAAATAATTGTAAAAATCTGTTATGCTAAATGGAAAAAATATATATGCAAGAGTGTATTTTTGGCAGAAGTAAATAGAAAGAAAGTTAATCAGTGACGCTACCTTTGAAATCCACAAATACCTCTAGTTTCCTATAAATATTTACATGTTTAACAGTCTTGGCAATAAGAAAACATTGTTGTGAGCTTGGCTCAAATACTCTGTAGCGATTTCCACCAAATATTTTGTAGTTTCTGCTTGATTACTGCCATTGTTTTCAAAACAACATTCTAACATGTAACTCTTATAAAGCAAAAAACAAAAAAGCAGGAAAGTCACAATGTCAACTATGAAATTAGTTTGAAGTCAACTGATATGCATTAGTAGAAAAAAAATTATTTGAAAATACAATTTTAGATCTGCTTAGATCTGTGTAGGTAAACAAAACACCTGGATGATTAAAGAAAATAAACCAATGGACTTTGATTTAAGAAATATCGACTAAGTATTACAGGTAGTCTTCAAATTACAACTGCTCACTTAGTGATTATGTGAAATTACAACAGACTCAACTGTTGTAACTTACTACTCAGTTTTGAAGTTCTGACATTGCCCATGGTCATCTGACAGCAAGTTATTATATATATATTTTTTTTGCTGGAAACCAACTTTTACTTCTGGTTTCCAGAAGTAAATGCCATACAGCACTTAACAGTCACTGCCAAAAAGGTCATAAAATTGGGGTGGTCAGGTCAGGTGATGACCCATGACAACCATAATTGCCAGGCTCAGTTACTGCCGAAAGTTGAGGACTACCTGTAAAGTGGAGTGAAGTAATGATAAAAATCTTTCATATAAATTACAAGGAATTTCTTTGGAAACATGCAAACCCATATTAATCAAATTGGTGAGATAAAACTCATAAGTTAGCTATTTATTCAGAAAAAAAGGGGGAAAATGGTTGATAAACTGGTTGATAAATTGGCAAAAGTACAGGATTTCAGAACAACAAATACAGAGGTCTTAGTATCTCTGAGAATGCATTTAGAAGAGCTTAACAAAAATTGTTCCATGAAAGAAAATCTTAGAAGGTTCACTGTCCAATGCAAAAGTTGTCTTTTGAAGGACAAGTAGATACTATTATGCAAAATGAAATTATCAGAGGATGTATGCAGGATACTCTTCTTATATATGGGTCCACCTATAAGCAGCTCACAAAGACCAAACCTCATTATCTGGAATAAAGGTTTTAATCACAAATTGTGAAGTGGTTGCTATTGTTAGCTATAAATTGCCATTCCAAATAGGTCATAATTCATTCTGGATTTTCAGCAGTTTTGGGTTTATTTAATTGGCATATGGGAATGCTTCAGAACTATTTTGTTTTTAATCTCAAGACTGGATTATTTGGCTGGACAATGAATTCATAGTTATATAGGAATTTGCCTATACTGAACTGGCAACATATGCATTTTGTCCATTAATTTCTGTAGTGAGGTAGCAATGTTTGCAGATCTCACATAAAACAATGGGTATATAAGTTTTACACTTTTCAAGAGTAAGCTTTAAGACATAGAGTGATGATGCTATACATCATTGATAATGAGTGAGTAATTGCTATACATCATTGATAAATAATTGATAGACCTGGATTGAGATATCCAGAGAAACAGAATTAGGGTGAACAAAAGATTCATCAAGCATTAGCATTGTTTTCTCCATTGGGTTTTTTGTTGCAGGCCATCATGCACCATGAGGGCCATATGGATGATGGATTGACATTATCCAGATCTCAGCATGAAGAATCACGTACAGCACGAGTAATTCGTAGCACTGTCTTTCTTTTCAACAGGTTCATAAGGTATATATATATACTATTTTCTCACTTCCTCTTTCTATCATATTTAACATTCTGAAGCAAACAGCTTGATAAGATTATTTAGTAGAAGAGTGCATGAATCTTCACAAGATTCCATTTTGGATTTGTTTTACTTGAACATGAGATATGTGAATGGTGTTATGTCAGCCATACCAAACTATATGAAGACTTCTTTATGTAAAGTACTTTGCTGTCCCAAAACAATAAAGGTATGCTAAATTTTAAAAGAATTATCTTGAAAGCTGCTACACAGTTTTATATACCTTTAATATAATCCTTTCCTCACAACTTTTTAGTTTGCCTGCAAAAGTCATTGTGATATTCTGGAAAAAATTTTTTACAGCTCTTTGTGTTTTTCACATGGAAGACTGCTGTTCCAGTTCTTTGAATCACAATCTGGGCATTACATTATACTAGATTACTTCCAGAACAAACTGCTTGGTTCATTTCCAGAACTGTAGATCAGAATTGGACTGGATGATCTTTGTACAGCTGTTTTACTTAGTGGTGGTTCCTTACTAAAACTGAGACACATGTATTTATTAATTACCTGGTTAAATTGATATATTGCAATGATAGCATTAAGAATCATATGAAAATATATGTCTAATTAGTGAACTTTTACATTAACCTTAGGAGCCTTGATGCTGTCAGCAAGAAAGCTAAGTCTTCCATAGTTGATTTACCCATTGAATCAGTCAGCCTTAGCCTTCAGGACTTGATTGGTTACTTCCACCCACCAGATGAGCACTTAGAGCATGAAGACAAACAGAACCGACTAAGAGCTCTGAAGAATCGACAAAATCTCTTCCAAGAAGAGGTAGCAGTCTTGTTTACTTTATGGAAAAAGTAATGTTTTATGTTTTAAATTTGCAGTATAACGCAGTGGTGGAATTCAAATTTTTTACTACTGGTTCTGTGGTCGTGGCCTATTTTTTGGATGTGGCCTGGGGGGGTCATGTGACTGGGTGTGGCTTATTTGGTGGGTGTGGCTTGGCAGTCATGTGACTGGCTGGGCGTGGCCTGGTGGCCATGTGACTGGCTGGGCATGGCTTGGCGATCATGTGACTGGGAGGGATCTCTTTTTTCACCCAGCAACAATGTACAGTCTTATCAGCATGGGGTCCAACAAACAAGAAAGATAGAGTTTTTCATTGTTGGAAGTTAAAACCAACCCCTCTCCTAGGAAAATGAAATATTTTAGGATATATTAAAAAAAGTAGAATATTTCCCCTAAAAAGAAAAGTAAAAACTCAAGAGAGGCAGAAACTCAGACCCCCCAACCTTTACTAATGGGCCATTACTCTGGCCTAGGCCAGTCTATTTTACATAACAAAGATCTATTCCAGGTAGAGCTATATTAGGAATTGCCCAAAGCCCTTTCATTACATCATCATCAGGCAAAGCTCAACCAAGTCTGGGACTCAGGACAGCCTACAGAGTTGCCCCTGCATGACCCCATGGGAGTCTGACAACCAATCAGAATACAAGCTCAAATTCAAATCCCAACAGAGGGCATTCTGGATTTAAAACCAGAAATATTTTGTTGGATTCATTTAATTTTACACATAAAACAGCTGCTAGAATTGTGTTTGCACAACAATGGAAAAACAACGATTTGAAAATGAATTAAAATATTAGAATGTGCAGAAATGAATAAATTAACAATTACAAATTTACAGTCGAGAAGGGTTAGAATACTTTTTAACATGGGATTTCTCTTATCAATGGCTAACTAACAGAAACAGAAGTTAGAAATGTAAAAATATAAAAGAAAACACCAATTATATAAGGAAACTTCAGTAAAAAGGATAAGCAAATATTAGTATTTGATCATTGTTAATGAGTAGATAACTTTGAAAACATACACCCCCCCCCCAAAAAAAAAACCTGGAAATAAACACCAGTTTTTTACTTAATCCCCAGACAAAGCCACTGCAATAAAAACCCTGGATTGTTCCTCCAAGGATCCAAAACCTCACACCAGAAATCTCAGCCCTTCTGCCTTTAAGAAACCCCCAGGCAGGCAAGCAAGACAACAAAAAGCACCACTAAAGTACAGCCATTATTAAGATAACTCACCTGGTGGTCCCCTTTTCCTGATAACTGGCAGAATTAACCACCATGATAGGAAAGACAAAAGACCCAGGCAAGAACAAAAGCAGGGCAATCATGAACACTCCAAACCCATCAAGCAGGCTCAGCTCCAGAAATCTCAACATGTTAAAACCAGCTTTAATAAGGATGAAGTGTTATACCCCAAAACAAGTTACTAATTTTCTCAGAAACCATAAAAGCAGTTGGACTTCACGTAAAATGTCATCTGCCCTGCATGCTGCAAGCATCAACCTCAAAAAATGCTAGGACATGTAACATGACTGGATTGGCAGCAGACCCACAAAACTACACAACTGAAAACTACACACAGACACACACTCACAAAGCAGATACAGCTGGAAAAATCTAAAAATATAGCTTTAATTTATAGGCACATAACATTTCACACAATTTAAAAGAACTTCCATACACACACAGTGACAACCTCACAAAGCAGCTGCTTTCTAAAAATAGAAAAGCAGCTAAAATTTCCCAAATTTTATATGACTATTTTTTTTGGAAAAAAAATTAACATACTTACTGTTTTTTTAAATCAGGGGTCTTCAAACTTGACAGCTTTAAGACTTGTGGACTTCAACTCCCAGAATTCCTCCTCCAAGTTTGAAGACCCTTGTTTTAAATCAGGGGATTTCAAACTTGACAGCTTTAAGACTTGTGGACTTCAACTCCCAGAATTCCTCCTCCAAGTTTGAAGACCCTTGTTTTAAATCAGGGGATTTCAAACTTGATAGCTTTAAGACTTGTGGACTTCAATTCCCAGAAGCCCTCCTCCAGTCATGTTAGCTCGGGAATTCTGGGAGTTGAAGTCCACAAGTCTTAAGCTTGCCAAGTTTGAAGACCCCTGCCCTGATTTAAATAATAAGTAGAAAAAAAAATGCCACTTACTTACCCAATTGAAGAAAGCAGGCAGGGAGAATCAGTTGCTCACCAATGAGTAGGCAGGAGATTGCAGCAGCAGTTCAGGAATCGGGAGAAGACGTCTGAAACACGTAGGTGCTTGTTGGAGGCTGGAAGTGGGAGGGAAGTGGGTTCTTTTAAAAAGGTTTCTCTGAGGGCTTTTAGAAGCCCTTGGATGGATGATCGCAGCAGCTTGGAAGATTGGGAAGAGGGCGGGCTGTGGTGAGGTGATCCAGGGGCCTTCGGCAGCCGCATAAGCCATTGTGGGGGCTTGAAGGTCGGGGCGATGCCAGGCAGCGGGAAGGAGTGCCGGGGGTTAGGGCCGGGCCCGGATGGCGTGTGGCTAGCAAGTCAGTACTTATCTGGTCCTGTAGGCAGGAGGAGGCTGGAAGGTCCGTTGGGAAGAGTAGAGTAGTGTAGAAAAATAAATCAGCTTAGGCAGGCAGCTGCAGAGCAGACTAGCATGTGCAAGCGATAGGGCCATGTGGTGAAAGGTTTTTATAGGGTGGGCTTGGGATGGGCAGGCTGAGCGTCGTGTGGGGGAGCAAGCGAGCAGGCGGGCAGGGCAAGCGAGCAGCGAGAGGACGGGCAGGGCAAGCAAGCAAGTGGTGACTACTCGGGCGACTGGGAACCGGTTCAGGGGAGAAGCCAGAAATCGCTAACAGTTCTGCGACCCACGCCAAATTCTTGTTACCAGATCACCAGAACCGCCGCGAACCGGCTGAATACCACCTCTGGCATAACGTCTACAGGATTTTTAAATTCAGGTTTTTGTTCCAATCAAGGCAAAATTTGTCGGAATAAAAAACATCTTTACCTTCTGAAGATTTAATAAGTCTGTAATTCCTTTCATTATATGTTATTTGTAGATCAGCAAATAAGCTACAAGTACAGATTACAAACAAGCTCAAACTACCATTAGAATGTCTTATCATGTCTCGGTGGAAAGTTAGTTAATTTACACTATGATTTGTTGGAACCAAGCACGTTAATATCGTAAGCTACATGATTTGTATTATTTCAGTATCCCACCTTTTAAATTAATCACTTTGTTCTTTTGGGATTCAGTAAGAAGCCACAATTAATTAAAACATGAAGTGAGACATTTCAGTGTTTTTCATGCAGACCTGAAAACAGAAAGTGTGAGGTGGGATGACAGAGTATGCGCGCTCAAACCTCACATACACAGTGCTAAATCTCATTTTAGGTCTCATTCCATCATAATGCTCCAGGAAAATATGAGGAGATATATAAGCTGCCTATAATATGCACATTCTTCAAAAGATTGCAAATGCAGAATATTAGAAGTATATTAGTTTTGCAAAATATATGACTCAGTGAGACTGAGTACCATATGGAGATGGAATTAATATAGAAATAGAGTACTCTTAAGAAGCTAGGTAAACAATATCTATGGAGAATTGCAGTTTTAAAGATGGATTTTGTCTTAATGCAACATGATTTACTTTTTCCTAAATATATGAAGATTGGACTGTTCTACTTATAAGTCAATATTTACCGGTGTCTTTTTCTGCTTCTTGGGACCGTTTGTTTTCCCAGAGATCTGTTCCTTTATTACCTACATATTACCTAAGTGCAAGTGTAAGTGTGTATATAATACCACATATGAAAAAAAAGCTCAGAGATTTTTAACACTGTATGTGTTGTGTGTATGTGTTTATGTATATTCACTTTATGAAAAATACAAAATGATTGAGAATAAATATCTCTTTTGTTATAGGGTATGATCAATTTAGTACTTGAATGTATTGATCGCTTACATGTGTACAGCAGTGCAGCTCATTTTGCTGATGTAGCTGGAAAGGAAGCAGGAGAAACTTGGAAATCTATTCTAAATTCACTGTATGAATTATTAGGTAAGACATACCTTCGAGCAACTGAGATTAATAACATCTAAACACACACAAATATATGTGCTAAAAACCCTGGGATGTTGAAATTTTATGATTTATGGAAAATATATTTTATTGTGTATGATAAAGAATTTCAGATGTCCAAGTGCACCCTTGTTTAGACTGTAGTTTATACCAAAATTGCAGTGCACTTATGATATATGTACAATTGTATTTGTGTTAAGTGGCAGATTCAAAATATAAGATTGTTTTTCCTTTCATGTGAACTAAATTAAATGTGGATACTTCCTGCTGATTAAAAAAAAACTGTGTGGTAAATTCTTTGATCCTATTACACTCTCAGATCTTAATTTGTTTCCATTACATAATACCATCGTATAGCATAGTGTAAGGTAGTATAGCATAATGTAGCATAACTTTGAGTTTAAATTTTTTTATGATAAATCTCTGGCCAGTTTAGCTAAAGAATATTATAATGAGTAAAGTTTTCAAATATCTCTGTATTCCAACAAAATAAGAGCTGTAATTTGATATTTAGCTTAGGTACAGTTATCCTTATATTATGATCATAATTGAGCCCAAAATTTATGTTGCTAAGCAGGACCGTTGTTAAGTGAGTTTTGCCTCATTTTACGATATTTCTTGCTGTGATAAGTGACTCATTGCAGTTGTTAAGTTAGTAACACAGTTGTTAAGGAAATGTGGCTTCCCCATTGACTTTGACAAGTGTCTGAATTTTGATCACACAACTATGGGGATGCTGCAACAGTTGTGAGTGTGAAAAATGGCCATAACTCACTTTTTTTCAGTGCCGTTGTAACTTTGAATGTTCACTAAATGAACTGTTGTAAGTGGAGGAATACCCTATTCTGGATACTAGCAATTTTAACCTGATCTCTGGATTTCATAGCTAACTATTAAGCATGCATCAATATTGCTATCATTTATAAGAGTCCAAATATAATTAGTGCTTTTCATAGGATATTTTCTAATCTTAATTATGATTTATGCTAGCTCGGTAAACTCCAATTTGGGGTCAAAATACTATATGATGATTTCAGCCAGTGAACGTGAGGATTTCTAAATTAAGAGTTTATCTATTATTTATTCCTAGCGGCTTTGATTAGAGGGAATCGTAAAAATTGTGCTCAGTTCTCTGGATCTCTTGATTGGCTGATTAGTAGGCTGGAGAGATTGGAAGCATCTTCTGGTATGTTTCTTGACATTATGATGTATATTTGAATTCATGGGTTCTTCTTCTAGAATACAATATGAAATATTTGGCATAGAACTAATTTAATAATGATCCCTTGGGTACCTACAAACAGGAATTGAAAAGCTGTTGTTTGTGAATCTGATATAAATTTTGCCAAAAAATTGTTTTGTTTTGTTTGGTGCCTATATAATCTGATCCAGGTTTGTTTGGGATATTGTGTTGTACACAGAAACTTCCTTTTATGGTCTGATATTTTTCTCAGCATGTGTATCTCACAGGTAAAAAAGAAAGAAATTCCCTTAAGTTGAGCTCTGCTCCTGGGGAGGTTCAAGATATGTTTTGTATAGTATTCTTGACCATAGCCTTGAAATGGTTCATTTTTGTGTTCTTTCTTCTGAGATAAAGTGTTTTGTAGTCCCAATTTAACTTACAGTCCAGAAATACCCTGGTTACTTTCAAATACTACACGGAAAAGAAATGAAAAAGGCAATGAAAATCAAGGAGCAGAAAAAGGGAGGGAATGGAATTCCAAGTGCTAGTGATGAAAATTCTTATTAATTTTGGTTCTTATTTTCACTGCTTAGCATCTGCCCCTGCTTAGTGTTTTCCATGATCAAAGACATTATTACTAACTGAATAACTGATACATTTTCTATCATATATAGTAAATATCAATAGATTTTTTTATTCTTGTTTCTCAAACACCTACAATGTTTTAAGCATGATACTTAAGTTAAAAGTGAATTAGATCTTAGTTCATAAATAATTTAATAATTTATCTTTAAAGGAGCTTAAATAGCAATAGTTAGATCAATTAGGAACCCAACAAACAACACTTGGCATTTTAACCAAATTGATTTCTGCCCTGCAATTCAGATTGGTCTAGTTGCAGCTTAGTAATGACAGCTGTTTTTCAATTAGTTACAGCTGAACTATAGACTGTATTTTGGATTTAGGGGGAAAAACTAATATGGAACATTGTTTTAAACAGAAAGATGTTTAAGTAATATAAAATAAAATTGAGAGTTGTCAGATTGTGGCATGAAGTAAATGCGATAAATAAAAACATCTCATAAAAATCAGATGCATAATTTGTTTATGGATATGAGAGATTTTAACATGTAGTGTATGAGTTGTACTATTTCATCTGCTGCTGAGAGTTTTTGCATCTTTGATGATATTTAATTTGTTTTAATTTATTTATGTTCACAAAATATCTAATTGCATAACCCATTTTTATTAAAGTACTTCTTAGACACGTACTTCAAAGTATCGGAGGCCCTATGAGCATCATGGCCAAACACTATATATAGGGCATATCTTAACTATATGTACCACTATTCAACCTGTGGTTTCTACATAAACTATATTTTATTTGCAAAATTTAAGAACTTTTAAAAAATAGCATTACTTAATAGTTGATGTAATGTAATGATCTCATTATAAGACTACATTTTCCATAAAAACACCAGCCATTTTTAATTAAATATTGCTACTAATTATCAATGTCTCATCAGAGGGGGAAAAATCACATTTAAATTTTCAGTCCAATTGAACCCAAGAGTTACCAAATCCCTATTACAATTAGAACCAAAAACTTACCAAGCCTGCAATAGTGCTAAATAATAACTCTCAAGCTGAGCCTGCAGTGGTATGTAGTAAATATAATTTCCATTCAATACTTGATTGAGACTGATAGATCATGAAAATTAAAACCATTGCTATCATCATAAGACAGTTAAAACAAGGAAAAAAGTATCCCAGTAATGTATCTGTCTATTTAAAATATTCATCTGAAACTAACATAGGCATTGCTTTCAAAATATTTATCAGTCTTGATACTTCATTTTCATAATATTGATTTTAATCCCACAAACTAAAAGGTGTTTTTCTTCACATAATTCCATTCCGTTTGGGTGATACAGTTTGAAATGTTCTTATCTGCTAAATTGGATATTTTCCTCAGAATGCTAATCAACAAGTACTGTATGTAGTAGCTCCTGAACAAAAACAAAATAAAACAACAAAATTTAAAAACCCAATTAATTCTTGACAATCCTTCAGAATCTTCTTGACAATTGGTAAAATATTTGATTTATTTCAAATCAAACATTTCATTTATTTAAATTTGTTGTAAAACAAGCAACAATAGAGAAGCTATAGTAAAAACTGAGGGCTACTTGAAATTGAGGAGATATGAGTACTCATTCCAAGTTTATCATTACACATGAAAGCAGCTTATGTTAATTGGCTAATCTTTTATGTTATTCTCAAATAATCATGCTTATCAAGATTAGTATAAGAAGCATTTTCTTAGGAATGCAAGTTAATTCAATATGAAAACAACAGCAACGATGTTGTCATTGTTTTATTTTATTTATTTCTCTTGACTCTTACAATAATTATAGAAGAAAAGGGATTATTATGATCATTCTTAGATTATTATGACTGTTCTTTATTGTATGTTTTTGAAAGAATATAAAGAGATAAATACTAAAATGGGGATTCTATATTTTTAGGAATTCTTGAAGTATTACACTGTGTGTTGGTGGAAAGTCCAGAAGCATTGAATATTATTAAAGAAGGACATATTAAATCAATCATTTGTCTTTTGGACAAACATGGCAGAAACCATAAGGTATACAAGAGAAACATGAATTTATTTTAATAATCTATGTGGTTAATATAAGTTTTATAAGTAGAACATAAAATTTAAGATAACAATTAAGCATATTTAATTTTTTGATATATAGAAGCTCTAATGACTTAAAACTTCCATAACCACCTCTATGTCATTTTTTCCCAAGGTATTAGATGTTCTTTGTTCATTGTGTGTATGTCACGGAGTAGCTGTGCGATCCAATCAACATTTGATCTGTGATAATCTTCTGCCAGGGAGAGATCTTCTTCTTCAAACTCGCCTTATCAATCATGTGAGCAGGTAAAAAATGGAATAGGATATTATTTTTAATGCTCATGTATATGTATTTATAATGAGCACATATATGCAAGCCCTTCTATAATATTATCTTTATTAGAACTTGTTTGGTGTAGAAGAACTGAGCGTTAAAAAGTTGGTAATTTGCTTTTTTTAAAAATCCATTTTGTGATATTTTTTTTAAACTGATTTTTTAAAATATATTACTTTGTTTGTATTCAGCATGCGGCCAAATATTTTCCTTGGAATCAACGAGGGCTCTGCTCAGTACAGGAAATGGTATTACGAATTAATGGTTGATTATGTGGAGCCATTTACAACAGCAGAAGCTACTCACCTTCGTGTAGGTTGGGCATCAACAGAAGGCTATTCACCATATCCAGTGGGTGGAGAAGAATGGGGTGGCAATGGTGTTGGTGATGACTTATATTCTTATGGTTTTGATGGACTTCATCTATGGTCAGGTAAGATTAATTACTTATAGCTTAAGATATTGCAAGTTAGGTTTTAAATGAAAGAGTTATAGAGGATAGCTATAGAAGGTTTGAAACAACTGCATCACAAGTAGAAAGTCCCAGATTCTGTTCTTACATGTGGTGCAATAAGAGAAAGATTCCTATATGAAATTGAAGCACCCCTGTCTTAGAAGAATTGATACTGAGTTAGCCTATCTATTATGTAGTTTTGTGTTTCTCAATGTGCTTTTGAGATCTTTGGAAATAGTTTTAATATTAGGATCTTCAATTTTTCTCTAATATTCATTCCTAATTATAGGTTGTGTAGCAAAATCAGTCAATTCTCCTAATCATCATCTACTCAGGACTGATGATGTCATCAGCTGTTGCCTTGATCTGAGTGCTCCAAGCATTTCATTCCGAATAAATGGGCAGCCAGTGCAGGGAATGTTTGAGAATTTCAACACAGATGGTCTTTTCTTTCCGGTTGTCAGCTTTTCAGCAGGGATAAAGTTCGTATCTTCATCCAATTATTTTCTTTGCTAAAGTCTAATCTAGATTAGTGACTGTTGACATTGTAACTTTTTCTTAAAAGCAGATGTAGAGAGTGTAGGTATCTTTAAATTGGTAGGGACTATACTAATTTGAGAACTGATTAAATTTGAAGGGGCATTGGTTTTTTGAAATTGTTATGGTTTCTCTGCTGGGAAAAATATAAAAGAGGAAGTAAAGAAGAAGAATCAAGAGATAGATAATATCTCCTCCTCCCCACTCCTTCTTTTTCCCCTTCTTCTTTCCCTTCCCCTTCTTCCTCTTCCCCTTCTGCCCCCTCCTCCATTAACTTTTTATTGTTATACTATTGCAACTGTTTTAACAATTTAGTGATAATGATGGTCTCTGTGTTTTTGTCAGTTATCAATTCTAATTTAATCCAAAATTAAGTAAATTATTTAAACCATTTAACTTGTTATTCTAAGGATTAAGGACCTACTGAACATAGTGAAGTTCAATTACAAGTAAATATGCACACAATTTTATTAGCATTATTCCAAAGTACATGACATATGAAAATAACAAACTAAATCCCAGGTAAAGGTAAATTCTATCAAGGTGAGCAAGAAAGTAAATTAATTACAGACAATTTAGGAAACTTACAGCACAAAAGAACCTAAAGTTTTATAAAAGCTGCTCAAATTCAGTATCTGCAAGTAAAACTTTGCAAGAAATATTTTATTTAATTAATATAGAGCCTGTCACATTGTACTTATCTTACAGAGTACGATTTTTGCTTGGAGGCCGCCATGGGGAATTTAAATTTCTTCCCCCTCCAGGATATGCTCCATGTTTTGAAGCTATTCTGCCCAAAGAAAAGTTAAAAGTGGAACCCAGCAGGGAATATAAACAAGATTGCAATTGCTCAAGGGATCTCTTGGGACCAAATATCTCTTTGTCACAAGCAGCATTCACTCCAGTACCTGTTGATACCAGTCAGGTATGTAAAATGTACATTGACTTTAAACACGCATTAGATTTAATTTATATTATGTTAAAACTAGGAGTAGGTTGGATGACAAGCACCATGTGACTGCTAAAAGTATTGTTATATCAATATCATCAATATCAATATTTAAAATGACAGAACACACATCCACAGCCCCAATCATTTTGATCGCTGTATAGGTGAATCCACAAAGTCAGATTTATGCTTAAGGTCATATCAGACAAAAACATTTATTTATAACATTTATATTTAACATTTTAAATATGTCAAATGTAGTTCAATGATTGTTCCATTAATATGAATCCATTCTACATCATGGTTGTATTGGCCTCAATATCCAGGGGGTGGGAAATGACAATACAAGCATTAAGATGCAAAATGCACAACATGTGCTTGCATGCAAAATTGTGATGCAAGGCCATAATGGTGAAGCTTTCTGCATGAGATCAAAATGCACATTTCTTACATGCACATTACATCATTGCTGAAAGGAGTGAATGCATTTGATAGCTATGTAAAAACAGACACAAAAGTGTCCCCTGATAAGATGTATATTGGGTAAGTGCTTAAGATAAAGCATCTGAGTGACAATACTGTATGGCAATTTTAAATAATTTTTATTCTGCTATTTTATTAATAGAAGAACTATGCTGATGAACAATGTTAAGTTCATGAATAGAGTTGGTTTAGTGGAGAATGACAATGTTTTATTTGCAATTTCTTGCAGTTATATTTTGAATCTTGTTTTCTTAATTCTGCAGAAAATAGGTATGATAGATGATAGATTTTTAAAAAATGGAACAGTGTTGCTACAAATTATAAAGAGGCTGAAATAATTGGATTTTTAATTTTTTCACCATCTAACTATAACTGAAAGGTAGAAAAATATTTTTGTTAAAATAAACAAGTTATATACAGTACTGTACGTGTGGCATTAAGATATTTACAATTCAGTCCTTTACATTTCTACTCAAAGGTAAATTTCAATTAGTTCACTGGGTTTTCTTTTTGGCAGTGGAAATTTTAATCAGTAAAAAATAAGCCCACAAAATGATTGGTATAATTATTTCATTGGTTTGTTTTTTTCTTAATTGTACTGTTTGCCATTAATTTTTTTAACTGATTCACTCTTCTATTTTTAGATTGTATTACCTCCACATCTGGAAAGAATTAGAGAAAAACTAGCTGAGAATATCCATGAACTTTGGGTGATGAATAAAATCGAACTTGGATGGCAGTATGGACCAGTATGTACAATACTAAATTTAGCATTTAATTAATTGGGTGCAAACTAATCAAGGAGAGAAGCAACTTAGAACTAAGGAAAAATTTCCTGACAGTTACAACAATTAATCAGTGGAATAACTTGTCTCCAGAAGTTGTGAATGCTCCAACACTGGAAGTTTTTAAAAAGATGTTGGATAACTTTTTTGTCTGAAGTGGTATAGGGTTTCCTGCCTAGGCAGGGGGTTGGACTAGAAGAACTCCAAGGTCCCTTCCAACCCTGTTATTCTATTCTATTCTATTCTATTCTATTCTATTCTATTCTATTCTATTCTATTCTATTCTATTCTATTCTATTCTATTCTATTCTATTCTATTCCATTCCATTCCATTCCATTCCATTCCATTCCATTCCATTCCATTCTATTTAATTTATATATGCTTATGTATATAATTTGGAAGCCTTTTTTACTCCCTAAATACTAAATGACTGTTTTGGTTTTCTAATGAGCTTTGCATAATGTAATAAATATAATTTAAAAAATTACACAGAAATAAATCCGATCAAGGGCATCCACCTAATGTGATCCAAAAAGTTAAGATGGTGGCTAAAACAGGGCAATTAAAGCTTAATCTGTATTTTATGAACATCATGTATGTGACACATAAAAAACAGGTGGAGCTTCTGTTGTACCTGTTGTGGCCACCATCTTGCCTTTTTGTCACCATATTATGCAGACTCTCTTGAAATATTGCCACAATCAGTATTCCTCTCTGACTCCAGTAAGAGAGGAACAATCAGCTAAAATCCAAGAGCTAAAAATTGCACATTTGATTAAGAGTGGAAAAAGTAATGCACAAATATGTTTTTGTGTGGACTTAGGGGTTTTTTGCAGGGAAAGTCTACTCCAAAATTGATCCTTTTAGGCTATAATTATAGGATAAACTGAAATCCTGTTTTACAGATTAGAGATGACAACAAGCGACAGCATCCCTGTTTGGTAGAGTTTGCTAAACTGCCTGAACAAGAACGGAATTATAATCTTCAGATGTCACTAGAAACATTAAAGTAAGTCTGAAGTATGTTTATATTTTTGCAAGTAAATTTATATGAATGTATGAATTCTTAATAGATTATGAAATTTGGTTTACGCTATATAGGATTAGCAAGGCACTCGTTAATTTTTTGGATTGCGTAAATAGAAATATGCATATCTCCAAGTAATTTCCTTTGCTATATGCTGATTACTCATACAATATTAGGTACTCAACTTTCATTTTTGATGAGAATTACAAAGCACTCATATTTGTTACTTTTAAAATATTTATCAGTAATTATATATTATATAAATGGAAGAGAAAAAAAAATATTGTATAAATCTGGACAGCAAATAGGTTCATATGCAAATTTGAATAGGAAAATCTACAATAAGATATCATAGCTCTGAAATCAAGATTGATAATAGTTTTCAAAAATATGAGCAAAATAAGAAAAGACAAACTCTTCCCATCATGTAATCATAATAATTACAATTGTAACTATAATAGTTACAATTGTGTAATTGTAAAATTGCACAAGGAACTATAGCCTTGTCATTCATAGTATATTTTGCTTGATTTTAATTACTTTAGATATAATGGTTTTGTCTTTTAGAACATTGCTGGCATTAGGTTGTCATGTTGGAATTGCTGATGAACATGCTGAAGAAAAGGTGAAGAAACTAAAACTTCCCAAAAAGTAAGTTTAAAGTCAGACTATTAAGGAATGAGAATGCAAATATGCCTACTCTGTCTCCTATACTCTGTCTATTAATATACAAATTGAAGATATCTGAACCTCCATATGATTCTAAGTATGAGACAGTATATTTGCATAATAAAAATTCCATCTGGAAATAAACAAAAATTAAAAATAAGTGAAAAGAGATTGATATATCAGTTAATAGATAGTAAGGGAGATATATACCAGGAAATAGAACAGAAAAAAGAAATCACTCATAAATACTTTGAAGATCTATATAAAAAAGATGTCAGTGAAGACAGAATAAGGAATTATTTAGATGAAGTGAAGGATAAGGCAATTGGGGAAGAAATGGTAGAACTACTAAATAAAGACATTACTGAATCGGAATTGAAATCAGCAATAGAGAACCAGAAAAATAACAAAACCCCGGGCCCAGATGGGATTCCAGGGGAGCTGTACAAGGCAATAGCAGAACAAATTGGACCACTTATGGTGGAAGTTTTCAATGATGTTTTACTGGCAGCCAGGATGCCGGACTCATGGAGGGGGGCGTTGATTTTGCTGATCCCGAAGGAGGATACGGATCCCAGATATATAAATAATTATAGGCCGATTTCACTCTTAAATACTGATTATAAAATATTCACTTCTATTATAGCAAACAGATTAAAAAGAATGTTAAACTTGTATATACATGAAGATCAAAACGGATTTCTCCCAACTAGGCAAATAAAGAACAATTTAAGAATAGTATTAGACGCACCCCGAGAAACAAGTAGCACTCATGTTCTTAGACGCAGAGAAGGCTTTCGATAATCTAAATTGGCAATTTTTAATTCAAAA